TCATCTGAGAAAATCAAACCCATAGAAATTTGAGGGTATAGCAAAGAATTTAAATATATATAGCCACATTTGTGCCAGGATCTCAAATAATGCATCTAGAATGAAGATACAACTTTTCTACTAAAGGCTATTCTGAAACATAGAATAAAAACCATTTCCAGCAAATTTCAGGGGGGGAAGGGAACAGCACTGGGACCTCAGTACAAAGATTCTCCTTTAATTCTTTCAGTTTGGATCACTTGGCAACTAGGTAACCTATGGATCCCTGTATCTTGTTAAATATGTCTCTTTGGGTTTTTTTTGTTTTTGTTTTTTGTAGGTGGACGTGCTTCTGAAACGGATGACATTACTGCTGATGGACAGCATGGTGTTTCCTTTGTGAATCCAATTGGGGAGATCTTCCTGAGCCCTCTAGCAGGTCAGATAAATGACAAGATATCATTTATCTTGTCCCTCGGGTATATTGATCTATTCACATGTTCCTTCTGTATCCACTCTTTGAACAAAAGGAGGATTAGGGGGATTAAGGGAAGCCTGGAGATTCAAGACCACATAAGAACGATGCCATTTATCTGTGAACTCTGCTATATCGGTATAATGGAATCATTTTTGATGGCATTATCCAAACAGATTAAAAATGCTTTCAGTTCTTCTGACACATTAACATGCCACAGCATGTTTGAAGTTCAAATTCAGTCACCTCAGAAGCTGCTTATGCAGCTTTGCCCCAATGTGGCAGGTCTGAGGTAGCAAGTGCTGGCATGCACGAATATTCCAGAATTGGAATTATTTTCCATAGTAAATATATTTTCCAAAGGTTGGGAAAATACACATTTTGATTTACTAAAAATCAGGTAGTATTCCATGCTTAATGACTGAAAGCTTTGTGTATGGCACAGTTTTTTTAAATTAGAATCCACTTTAGAATGCTCTTCAGTTAATGAAACTTACTGCTGTGATTAATATGTTTATATTTAAGAGGCCACAAGCTTTTTTTCCCCTGTTGGAATCATGGAAAGCCAGTATGGAATGTTAGCTAAGGAATTCCGGGAGCTGAAATCCGTACATCTTTACAATGCTGAGGCTGAGCAACATTATACTAAAGCATCTGTGACAGATGACCATCCACCCCCTTCTTGATGATCTTTAAAGAAAGAGAACTCACCCCACCATATGGCAGCCTGTTCTATGATTGATAGCGCGTATAGTCAGTAATCGAAGCAAATGTGTTTGCCTACAATATTTGGTTCTGTCTTGAAAAGATAATCTTCTGTTAGTCTTCAAGATATGTGGCTATAATTTATCAGATGCTGGGCAAAAGTCTGATATTTATGATTGGAAAAAAATATACAGATAGAAGATCTGCTGAGGAAATGTCCCTTCTTCCTTAGCAGATTACACCTGTACCTCTTTTTAGAAATGTGCTTTTTAAAGAAACATTTGAACTATAATTTCCATCCCTTTCTTCTTTAGTTATGGAAAGTCACGGTGAAATAGCCATTGAAGTCTATGTGAATTGCAGCCATTGTCAATCAGGTATCTGCAAACAAGAACCTGGCAGTCACCTACCTGTCTGTATTTGTGCAGCTGGGGCCATCTTGGCTAATGACAATGTTTCCTGCACAGGTAAAATACGAAAAAGGGATTGCAAATAAAATGTTCCATTTCTTGCTTTCCCACCAACCTTCACCAGGATTAGATCAAAGAAACAATTAGCCGGTTTAACAGCCATCTTTTTTCACCTCTAAAATTGTACACTAAAACTGTTCATTTTGTTTTATGTTTTGTTGTATGTGTTTATTATTAATTAATTTAATTTAAATGGAAAGTTATTTCAACAAGTGACTGCACATTTTGAACTGAGAGAGTGTGTGATTCTGTATTGTTGCTGTTCTAATTGTTGTAAGCTACTTGTGGCTTTGAAGAGGTAGCATCTAAATTTTAAAAATAACAACTATTAATAGCAAATAGACCTTTACTATAGTTCTTTAAAAATGTGTGGTAAAACTATGTAGTTTAAAGATCCCTTGGCAACCCCATTAAACTAAATTCCCTAGGATTTGAGGGTGAACATTGAGGTAACTATATGGCCTGTTCATAATATCTGCATTATGTGCTTTTCTCCAGTCCATGAAGCAGCATTAAAGTATGCTGCTATATTTTTCACTGGTCTATTGCTAAGCATGTTTGTCTTTGCAACCAGGACAGCTATTGGTGCTCTCCTCAAAGCTTTAATCTGGAACATTTAAGGAAAGAAATTATTGAACTCCTGTGGTATCACCTGCCAGCAGGAAAAAGACAACCAGTCACTGCTTTTAATAGAAGAGGCAAATTTTGATACTTGGTTAGACCAACAACTCCTAGAAACTCACCTGTTTTACTGGGCAGGATTCACCACCTGCCCTGCTGTAATGCTGCTGCTCTCTCCCACCACCTTCCCCTCCCCTTTCTTGCCAGCCGTGCCAGTTGGAAGGGACATTGGAGGTCTTCTAGTCCAACTCTCTGCTCAAGCAGGAGACCCTATACCATTTCAGACAAATGGCTATCCAGTCTCTTCTTAAAAACCTCCAGTGTTGAAACACCCACAATTTCTGAAGGCAAGCCATTCCACTGGTCAATTGTTCTCACTGTTAGGAAGTTTCTCTCCTTTATTAGTTTCTATCTATTGCTTCTTGTCCTGCCTTCTGGTGCTTTGGAGAATAGCTTGACTTCCTCTTCTTTGTGGCAACCCCTGAGATATTGGAACACTGCTACCATGTCACCCCCTGGTCCTTCTTTTCCCTAAACTAGACAAACCCAATTGTCTTAACTTATTATAAAATAATATAGCATAATAAATAATTATTTCTTATAATTAATTTATAAATGTATTTATACTATTGTTAGTTCATCTACAGCCCATCCTTTTCCTCTGCATTATATCTAGTAATTTGGGTACACATTTGTGCCCTCAATCTTTCTTCTTTCAGTTTTCTATCACAAGGAAATTGGCCACATTCTGTTTATGAACTTCTTAGATGTTAGGGTGGAAAGGAGTTGCTTGGGCTTTTTAAGAAACCCTGTTTAAAGTCCTAAACTGAAATCTAAATGCTTACATATCATGTTTTGTCTAGTTATCCGGGAACCCATTCCAGAAGAGCACTTGCCTCTCCCATTCCTCTTGACAGTGATTGCTGTGATTGTGGTGCTTGTTATGATTCTCATTTGTGGTAGCCTATCAATTGGTAAGTTGCATCTGCTGTATTTTGGGCATATCCGAATTCATTTGTTCACATCTCTGGCCCCTTTCAAGGATTTATCGATGTTCTTGGGAAGGAAGGTTGGAAACTGTTGACAATCTGTAAAACAGTGCTTTGGATCCAGATTAATGCTTAGTAATGTTTTGTGTTGGAGGATGTGACCTGTGGAGGAACAATTTTGTAGTTTTTTCCTTCCTGTGAAGACTGCTGTGGCTTCCTGAAAAGTTTCTTCAGAGGACCATCAGAACCAGAATGGAGATAGTGGGACAGAATGCAGAAAAAGCATCAGAATGTAAAAACTCTATCCCCTTGCACCAACAGGGGGTTCCCACTGGATCTCAGTTCTTTTCACGTTTGAAAGCAAATTTGAATCCACCTATTGCAATTGTGGAGAATAACATGAACACTTTAAGGGAGTGTGATCACCTTGCTTTCACATGGGGCTGCAGTCTCATTGAACTACTTGATGAAAATAGTAACCATGGACAAAGGATTCCTAAAAACACTAAACTGATTGAACAAAGATACACATAGGTTTATATATTAAACATTTTAATTCGTTAAAATTAATTGATTTTAGTTATTTACTTTGTAATTTCTACATTTTCATTATAAGAGATGATACTAATGGGATTTCCTGTTTTATATGCCAAAATAGTTGGCTTTTTATCCTGTGCAGTTTGATTTGGATCCGGGAGGTGTTGTTCATTGCATCATGCAGTGGGTGGTAAAGAATTGCCTTGCTTTTTATTTTAATATTATAAAAAAAATGTCCAGTGAATCAAGGTGATATATTATTGTTCCATTTGGGATGAATGTCATTCAAAACCATGTGGGGAAACACGGCTTGATTTGACAGTTAATCCAAAGCAAAGAGACTCAACATTTCAGTGGATATAGAAGTCAGTAAAACAACAGCTGTGATATATAATATTTGTGTCTGTATCTCTTTCTCTCTCTTTGTATGTTTCACACTGATGAGTTTTTTTTTATCTTACACGTCTTTTTTTGATGAGTAAGGGAAATAATTCAGTCCATCTGTAGTTAACATCTCATTTTTGGCTTTCAAGCCTAGGCAAAAGTTTTAAAAGAGCTTTCTGATTAAATAAGCAAACGTGCTTTTCTGCTAAAAGGAGCTACTTAATGCTTAAATCCATTCACAGCCATGCATGCATTTCTGTGTGGTATATTTAATCCACCATCTGCAGCATAGTCCCCTTTCAAGCCACCCCTGAGAGTTGTGTTTGCTAAGGCTAAATGTTGAATATAATGTGTGTTTTTTTCCTGAATTTTTTGCTTCACCCTGAGAGAAAAAGGCTTGTATTTTGAAGCTTGTCATTGTACCATATTACACCAATTTCTTAAGTAATCATGAATCCACAGCTTGCTTGTATTAGAACTCATTAAAAAGTGTAATATTTCAGGAATTGGGGTTATTCCTCTCACCAATATGACTGTATCTGCTCTTGACCAAGGCACATTCTAAAAGTGTTTGCCTGATCAGTTAAAAAAGCTAACTTGTAATTCTGCAAAAAATATAGTAACAAAATTTAAAAATACTAGCAAAGAGAAGTAAGTCTAAACATTTTGAGACAGACTTCCTGGAATGTTATATCTGTTGTTCGCGTGGCTTAATTTCTCTTTTCTTCTCAGATTCTCGTTCATGTTTTCTTTTCAGTTTATCATCGAAAGAAAAAGAGGCTAGAAGGAACCAGAGCCCATCTGCAGAATCCAGATTATAACCTAAGCAAAATCCGTACTTCTACTATCATGACAGATTATAACCCCAACTACAGCTTTGCAGGAAAGATGGCCACGCTCAGTGAACTTAAAGAGATCCCGCGAAAGAATATTTCTTTACTTCAGTAAGACTTAGCTGCCCTGTGTACTTGCTAATTTAGAAGGGGGAATTATAGCCTGAGTCACCAGGACTGGGAAATTGCGCTAATTCTGACTCTACCAGTTTTGAATCTCAGTATCTTAACAGGAAGGCATAGAATTCTGCAAAACTTAGTGATTTATTATTGATAAAAAAATAATCTACAATTGGCCTCTAGTTTGCCTAAACTAAGACTTTATATATCCAATTATCATGAGTGGCTAGGATTTGGGCAACATATAAATTCAATATATTATCATTATTGTTAATAATACAATTTTATTAGAATTTTAAATTCAGGGAAAAAAATAATGAGAACTAATATTTAGAATGAAAAAAAAGGAAAAGAAAGAAGAGCAAAGATAAAAGTGCAGAAATCAAAGAAAATGGGGAAAAAAGGATTATAAAGTGACCCGGATTTTTTTTTCCAGCAGTTATAAGTATAGATATAAATTAACCTCTTATTCTATGGTTACAGCAGCGTTTATATTTTCTCTATAATCTATTGTTTTTATTCTAATCCTCAAAACCATATATCTTTACTTCATTTTTTTTCTGTTTACCACACAATGACAAAAGGATTTTTCAATCATTATTAAACTTAGACAATGTCTTATATTGAATTAAAGCAGTCAACTTGGCCATTTCAGCAAGTTCATTCTCTATTCATTCCTCCATTAAGTGTAGTATGTATATGTCTTCTAGTTGTACAATTTATTTTTATTTGAATATCTTTTTTTATGAATTTGGACGACGGTAAATAGGAATTTAAAGTAGTACACCAGGCCCTGAAAAGATTGCCAAGTAAGTCCAAGGCAGAATTTGGAGAAGGTAGACTAAGCTTTGTTGAATACCTTCTGATTGACAAAAAGGCTAATTCTTAGATCAGCAAAATCCACTGCAGGTACCAGGTGTGACACCTTCAACAGTGGTTCACAAATAAAACGCTATCTCTTACTATCACTATTCCACTATCCATCCCCATGGATATTCTTCATAACCTCAACCTCATCCCAAAGACCTGATTAATTGATTGATTAATTATGTGTCATGAAGTCATTTTTGACTCCTAGCAACCAAATTCATAGATTTTCTCTGACAATTAATCCCTAACTTGTTTTTTCAAATCTCCCAACAGTGCAATAATCAGCACTGGAACTGAGTCCATCCCACCCTGCTTCTGGTTGTTCTCTTCTTCTTTAAGCCCAAGCATGGTTTTAAGAAAATATTAGATGCACACAAGTCATTTCTCTCGTTAAGAACATTCATGCTAGCCAGATTGATGCTTAAGCAAACAAAAAAGTGTAATGGAATGGGGGTTGGGATTTGAATTAGTCTCAACTCCTGTTGATCATGTGCTCAAGTCCATATGGTTTTCTTGGTAGCATTTTCAGAAGAAGTCCTTGCCCTCTTCTCGGTCCTGAGAGATGGGATCTGACCAAAAGTCATTCATGCCTGTGGCAGAAATAGAACTCATAGCCTTATGCTGAGTAGCCTTTAGCCACTTCAACTAACTACCTCTTAACGCATCACCATTGCCCAGGTGATGCTTAAGGAGGCTCCTTTCATGTCCCTGATATTTTTCCACTGAAGTGGTACCTATTTATCCACTTGCATTTGTATGCTTTCAAACTGCTAGGTAGGCAGGAACTGGGACAAATAGATGAGAGCTCATTCTGTCACGCAGTTGAAAACCCGAGAGCAAGCTGTATGACGGAATGAACTCCCATCTATTTGTTCCAACGACTGCCCACCTAGCAGTTCGAAAGCATGCAAATGCAAGTAGATAAATAGGTACCACTTTGGTGAGAAAACACTGGGGACATGAATGGAGAAGAAAGAACCTCCGTAGGTGCTTCTGACATGAAGGTGGTAGTAGTAACACTCACTAAAATTGTACATGTTATTATTCTGCTATAATGGTACAAACATGGGTAAGAATAGTTTGGCTATTTTTGTCTCTTCTTTGTAATATGTTCCTGAACCTACTGTAACAGGAATGCTGTTGTGGTCTGTCAAATGAAGAGATGGTTGCATTTATAAAATGCTCATCTCTTTACAGGTGCTAATATTTCTAAACTTGGCTAAGAGTAAGAAGGGCCATTTTATAAGAATTTCCCTTCCCTTGTGGAATGCGTGTTGAACATAGCATTTGGACACACATTTATAATTGTAGTGCAGGAAAGAGAGCCTGAGTTTAGTTAGACAGCTCTAAATCCAAGCAATTGTTTTGTGGGAAAATGCTAAAGCTACCGCTATTTGCACGCATATTTCATCAACAATGCTTAATGTGTATATTAACAACCTAATATTAATGGACAGTTCCAACGGTTCCTGGATCTTTCAACATTTTGTAATCAGAAGTGTTTACTTGGCGTAGATATAGGAAGGGTACAAAGTAACTGAATGTGTGTTTTTGTTTTCTCCCTTCCTTTAGGGAACTTGGACACGGGGCATTTGGTGAAGTTTACAAAGGAACAGTGGTGGGAATCACAGGAGATCCCAGTCCTCTACAGGTGGCTATCAAGGTTAGTGTCTTCAGCTAACATTAGCTGAGTCTGACTCTTGATAACTTTACGGACTCTTGATTACTTTGGGTACCTATTGCCTTCTTCTGGAATTTTTCAAAACTTTTTAACATGGTTATTAGTCATCAGATTTCATGGAGGATGTCTTATCCAGGAACTAACAATATCTGATTCTGCTTAGTTTTATTTCAAGATCAGTCAAGATTAGCTAGACAGTATATCAGACAGTACCTATCATCACAACTAATGAATTTTACGTTCTTTTTGTTTTCTTTATTTCTGAAATGTTATCTGATGTTTCCATTATAACAAACGTCTGAGCAGCTTACAAGTAACCATAGCACGGTGCACCAAAAAAGCAATACACATTTTCCTAAACAGTTAAAAGAACTGAGGCAGTTGAACCTGATGAGTATGTTTGATCAAAGGTATGGATAAGCAGAGCATGCTTAGCCTGACATCAAAAAGATATAAAAAGTAAGGCCAATGAATTGTTTAAAGAGGACATTTCCAAATCAGGATGGTATCACCAAAAAGATTCTCTATTCCCACTCAACTCTATTTTCCCCCTTTAATTACTCAATCTCCTGTATCTGTAATGCTGTGCTCTGAATTGGAAGGTAAATGGGGGCAGACAATGAGCATCTCTGTGTGTTATATTGTCCATATCAGAGGCTTTGATTGACATCAATGCTATAATCATGTTTTCAGGATTTGTTTTAAATGGTTTATTCAAAGTTTTCAACTTTGTTAGTTTTCAGGGTGAGAAGCAGTATAAAAATGAAACACAACCTAAGTGTTGTTTAAGAATGCCTTCCCATTTTCCTCCTGCTAGTAATCTTCCTTTGCAATTGATTCATTTTTTTTCCTTTTCATTTCAACAGACATTGCCCGAAATCTCTTCAGAACAGGATGAGATGGATTTCCTAATGGAAGCACTGATAATCAGGTGCATTTTAAAACTTTCTTCTTAGACAGGATTATAGTTAACATGGTGAACAAGACATAACTAAAAATCTGTCTCAAGAGATTTTATTTGCATTTGATTTTAGCAGCATCAATTTTAAAAAGACAGCAATAAGATATGCATTATACAAGCCACATACTGTATCCCTAATTCTGTTCCAGAAACTGCCAGTTGGTAGTAGAGCTTTTAAGAGTGTTTCTGTAAAAATTCTAATTTCACAGTGTCCTGAAAGAAGCTAGTGAGCAAAAGCTTGCAGCTTGCTGAAATCTAGTTTTTATATATTGACAGTACAATTCAGACTTACACTCATTCAAAGTATGTACATACTGAGGACAAGGCAAATTACACATCTCCAAAGGCGTACAGGTGGCATTGTGGCAAAATTGGTGACTGGATATGGTTTTTCTGGTCAGCCAAACCTCTCTGGGTAACGTGGTAAAAGGCTATTGTTTTTACTTCTTTAAAGAAGATGTGATAGGAGAGCAATTTGAACCTAGGACACTAGAGGAAACCAAAAGGAAATAAAAATTACAATTAAAGAGGAAAAATATTTAATTTTTCTTACACAGAATGGAGCAAAACTCTTTAATATTGGATGTATTGAAGGATATTTTTGAATACTGGACCCAGAAATTAATTTTAAGAATGTCTGCCTCTATAGATAAACTATGTTTAAAGGATGTTATGGAAGAGGAACAAGTTTTACTGGACAAGATTGAGACCAATCTGAAAGTCGATTCAAAAATGACAAGCTGTAAGAATAATATGGGAAAAGATACTATACTGTATTTGCAAATGAAACCAGCTAATGTCTTAATAATTACAAGGGATATACAAAAGCAAACCCAAAGAGTGATTTGGATGACTCTCCTGTACTGGATTTACAGAAGAGACTTTTCAAAGTTCTGAAGGATTTGCGAAAAGAGACAAAGAAAAAATGAAAAGTAAACAAAGTCTAGCATATGATTTGAAGGGATTAAAAATCAAGACTGTTAAAAATAAAAGGAAGGAATATAAAGTGGATTTATTTGATCAAGGTTAAAACTGATATCTTGTTATTTCTGATAACTTTCATGGATTTTTGCTGATTGAGACTGAATGATGAGTTTTGAAGGATCTATTCATAGATAAGAGATGAGATATAGAAGGTGATAAGTTCTTTAAATTGTTTATACTTTTGTGATGGGGAAGTCTTTCTTTATATGCTGTATTTCTTTTCTTTTTCTTTCTTATACTTTCACTGTTATACATTTTCCATTCTATTTTTCTTTCTTTCTCTCTGTGCACTTTCCATTTTTTCCATTTCATTTTATTTTTTTGTAGTTTGTATTAGTTTTTATTGTACTAGTGCAATCTTCAGTACAAGTATTATTAAAAATCAAAATATGTACATACCATCTCTTATCTCCAGTGTATGACTTTTAGATACTGGGCAAAAGTCGTCTAGGACTGAGGGATCCAGAGATATTATCAATATGACCACTACTAATATATTTTTTTCAAAAAGTCTAATGAAGTTCCATTGGGAACTTCAGCCAGCATTAGTAGAGGCCTAGCTAAGTAACTAGCTGGCCATCTTCTTCTTTTCCTTTTAAATTCAAAGTCCATTACTTTCATGTGCAATGACACGGGGAAGGATCATCTAGTTGATTTCAGGTCTTCATTGAGGCAATTCTTTTGGCAGCCTATAAATAGGTGTCTACATCAGAGTTGCAACATAAACATGAATGCTCACACAAGACAGTGCCAGAACATGACTCACTCCCAGGTAGGTGTCACATGGCAGAGAACTATGCTGAATATATTCATGTAAAAGGATTGGACTGATCAGCACTGAACACCTTCCTCATCTCTACATGTTATTAGTTACATATTTTAATAGATGTCGCTTGCTTTTTAATCACTGTGTATTCAGGACTCCCTTTAATTGGGCTCAGGATTCAGTGAGTGCCCATATAGTTTTGTTGCCAATATTAAATATTTTGTCACTGCTTTCTTTTAAGATTTTTAGATTTTTAACTTCCCAATTCCTGGTTGTCTCATATCTAAATATTATCTATATGTGACTTTGCTTACCTTTTCAAGGTCAGATACATATTCTCCACCTAGGGAGTGTTATTTCTGTGGCTCTTATGGTGTGAAGGAAGAGTCAGAAAATGGGCTATAAACACTACTATTTGCAGATCTCCTGACTGGGAATTGTTGGATCTATAGACCAACATATCTTCAGGTTCTGGCTATAGTATTTCCAATTAAAATTGGATAATAACTTTAAAAAAAAGAGGTGCTTCAGCATCCCAGGAGAAGCCAAAGTCTGAGTTGACTCTTCATGACAGGCAGTTTCAACAGTGTATTACACACACATACACATTTTTTAATAGAAATGAGACACACCTTAGGAAAACTTTCAGCAGGTTTCTGCACATCAGAAAAGTACCTTGATTTATAGCTAGGTGCTGATCAGCTGTAATTGCTATCTGCCTCTCCCTAAATGCTTGGCATGAAAAACATTCCTAGAGCCATTTGTAAGAGATTGCTTCCCTCTTCAACTCCAACAAGTGGCTGAGGCCCAATCAGACATGACTGCATCCCTCCCAAACTCAGGGACTTCTGAGTAGGCACCCGTGCATGTTTGCATTTTTTAAACATCTGTCCACTGGATACTTTCAAATATGTTCTTATGGTTGGCTCTTTCCACCATTCAAGAAAATGAGATATTACCCAATGAAGTGGCAGTGGAATATTTCTTTAATTATTCCATGCTGAGAAAGTGTAGTGTATGTTATTTAAAAAAATTAATACTTTTTAAAGTTCCCAAGTTTGAAGTACAAATCCCTAAGCCTAGAATATACAGGATGCATTTATTGAAGACAGGCCATGCCAGCTGCAAGGAGGGGAAGCTTCAGAAATCACAGCCAAAACAGGATTGAACAATGAAATTCCTCCTTAAGTTTTTCCTTTGTTTTTCTCAGGACTCTTCTCCCAAAATGTTTCTGACTGTGTCTTTGTCAGCCTGTGTTTTCTTTTCCCCTCTTCACCATCTCTCCAAATAACTCTGGTGTATTTCTAGAAGGAATATCTAAGAGCACTTCTAGATAGCTGGTTTCATGTGCCATCTTGCAGTCCAAAAAGTACCCCAGAATAAACTTCATCTGTCCCCATAACCCTTCTTAACACTGCTTCATGAATGAAGGTCTGAGGGTTAATGTCTTAACAGTTTACTGCAGCAAAAGGTGAGCTGCATGATTATGTTACCCTGTTAGCAAGAAAAACTTTCCTGAAAACCTCCTCAGTGTGGGCTGGACCTAATGAGGAGCGAAGTTCTGCCAGATGGCTAGAGTGGTGGGTTTAGTAGGCTGCTAGAACCTGATCTATGGGGTGGCTGGGGGATTTCTGCTTTTGCCTTACTGGTAAGACCCTACCCATCCCTGCTGTGTCTGCCTAATCCACGAGGGTGAGATGGTGGAGATTGACACAGCAATACTGCCTGTCGAGAGGTGAAAGTATGACTCTGTCCTCTCAGATCCCCCATGTAACAAGCTTACACACTGCTCTGGGGGTGGCAGAAGGATGCTCTCCCATCAACAAGCATTTCTCCTCTGTGCAACCTGCCAAGGTTTTGCACAGAGGATATAGGAAGGAAGAGTAAACATTACTTCAAAGGGTCATAAGACCAGGCATCCTGTTTGTCAGCCCCTACCCACTGTGGATGACTGCAGGGGATGGAGTGTGCCTTATAGGAGGTGAGCAGATCCCACTTGGTATTGCACTGTCAGCTCAATTGCAGCTGAATCACTATACAGTACATCCTGCAGATCAGAAGGCTCCATTTTCAGAAAAAAAACACATTAGCTAAGGATTGGAGATGAGAAAACACTGCATGATATATAGGTGTCCTTCAAGAATTTCAAACTGAAGCTGGAGAGATTGTGGACAAGCCCTAAGAGGAAATTCAGCCAACTCTAACACCTCTGCAACCATTTGTTAAACTATAGTCTCCTGAAATCCTTTTTGGCTAAGTCCTTCCGTTAAAGACACTTATAGTTGATAAGTGAGCTGACCTTCTATAATCTTGAAAAGCTCTATGGGTTGGAGACCTGAAAAGCAGGTGTGATGAAGAGGGCTCCTTCCATCAAGAAGCAACTTCTGTCACTGGGATGCATTTCCAATTACTTTTTTGAATTAAAATCCTATACACACCATTGTTCACACATCCAAAGCTACAGTAATACAAACTAATATAAAGTAAGGAATTAAAAAAGAAAGAGAAAGCAAAGAGAAAGCAAAAAAAGTGCAAGAGAAAAAAAAGTGAAGAAAAATAAGGGGAAAAGATATAAAAAAATAGCTTCCAGTATTCCTCACAACAATTATAACTACAATTATAAGCTTTCTAGAGTTACATAATACTATTTTTCTTTCTATAATCTATCCTGTCTAATCATCAAAGCATAAATCACAAGTTTACTTTTTTCATGCAAAAAAAAATCTATTAGAAGCTTCTAGTTACCAATAAATGTAGCTTGTGAGTTTTCTCTAATCAAAGTTGATGTTTCCATCTCAGCAAACTGGGATGATTTCTATTGCCTGAACTAGGGAGGAGGCAGTAACATTTGCCATTCCTATTTCCTGAAAATAATCCAGCAATAATCCAAAAAGATGTTTGTCAGGGATGCTCCCAAAGGGTGAATGAAAAATCTGGACTCAATCCTATCATAGCTTGCATATTGGGCTGCATGTAGTTCTTCTGGTTTTGACATTGCAGCGATACAGATGCAGGAAGACGGAGCTCCGTCTTTCACATTTGGTTTCGTCCTGCTGGGGGACCCTGGAAAGGGTCAAAAGTCACCCTGTAAAGGTGGCAAGCAAGGAGGGGACTCTTGTTGATCGTGGGGGGGTGGCAGCCCTCCTGTTTGATCCAAGGATCCCTCCAAACCAGTGGGGGAAAGACTGGCTGCATTCGTGTAGCCAGTCCAAAGCTGCTAACAACGGAAGTCAACAAGACTACCAAGCAACTTTACAGCAATGTAGATGAAACTGGGTCCTGATCCTTTCTTTATGGTTTTAAGACCTCTTCCTGAAATTTTGCCCAAAGCACTCTCCCCAATGAAATAGGGAAAGGGAATTTCTGCCCCATTCCCTCAGAAAAGAAAAGCGGCGAATTAATTACTTGGGGATAATGGTGAAACCTATAAGACTTATTTGGGATTAATATATACATACAGCTTGAAAATTTGGGGACTAAAAGTGTTTTTAAGACCTTTTTTTAAAAAAAGACTTGAAAAGTTTACAATATAAGTTTTGAATCTAAAAACTGGAAAGTGGGGTTGATGACATCTAGTCGTGAATTATGGCATTACAACTTATTTATGCCTAAAAGAAACTTGGCTTGAAGTCCAGAACTAGATAAGACTTTGGCTGGCCTTAGAAGCTTTTACTATTGAGAATTGCAACTGAGAAAAAAGGAACAGGCTTGGGGGCTTCTTATCTGTGTGGCAGAGCTGATAACAAATATTCTAAATTTGGCCTGTCTGAATTTTGAACATAAATACTGACTTTCAGAACTGTATTATGGATTTATTTTCTTGTTGAAGAAGCATATGGAACCCTTTGGATTATAAATCTTGATTGTTAAACAACCTTCAATGGTTCTTTTTTTCTCCCTGGACAGAAAGTATATATTTCTTACTGGACAGAAAAATTTGAATTTTACTTATATCTGCTTAGGGGAGATTCAGGAACAGACAGTTGGTTGGATAAATCTACAAAGGCTACTTACAAAAATAAAATAAAATGGATGTTTCATACTCAGCTTTAAATAGTAAAACACCATCTTTAACATCTGTTCCCAGTAGCCTTAACTTGCCATATCACCAAAAAATTACTGATGAAACACAGAAAGAAATTCTCTCCATGTTGAAATTAATACAAAAAACAATTACTTTAGCTTGTGAGCAGGTTAAAAATAATACAAAGGAATTAAAAGAACAATTTTCTAATTTAAATCTACAAACTCAAAAAACAACTACAGAGAAGGAACAAGCAACCCAGAAAATAGAAGGAAAACTAGAGAATGCTGACACAAACATTGACGATCTAAAGGAAGAAACTAATGACCAGACTCAGATAAATGAAAACTCAGAAAACACAGCGATAATATTGGAAATGGAGAAGACATTTTATAAACCAACATCAGAACATACTGAATGACAAGGAAGGAGAGCTAATGGAATGGAAGATAAAGTCATGAACAGAACGGTGGGGAACTGGTGAAGGATGGAGGTGGTTTAATGAATATCAACAGGCTAGCTCTTCCAAAAACACTTTAACCAAATTGTTTCTCTTGTTTCAAATAATATATACAAAAATAGAGGAAGAATTATTTGATGATCCAAAAGCACTGACTTAGAAAGTTAGTTGGCAAAGAAAGAAAGCTAGAGTAATATTGAAGGAAACAGAAGATTTGATCTATTAGAGGGGATGCTATGTTATTAATTAGAGGTTTAAATATGGTTAAGAATAGACTGTTAGAAATAGAAGTATTATTATAACTAGATAGTATTTGTAATCAGAATATTATATCTTGGTATGAAAAAGGAAATAAGAATATGTTAAGAACTTTGAATAAGGGATGCTTTTGGTTGCCCAAATATAACTTGTTTTGAAATTATAAATGATTGGGATATTTTGAACATGGATGGGAAATTAAAATTGAAAAAAGTGAAAATAGGATATGGATTAAATAAGTGGAAATTGGGTGCAAATGCAATTAAGATATGCTTTGGCTAGAAAAGATATTTTAAATTGATATTATTAGAAAAATATAACAAATGTTGATATGCAATTGTATGTTTACTAACAATAAGAATTATATTTGCTTAGTGCGGAAAAATGGTTATTACCAAAACAAGAGAGGATGTACTGGCGGGTGTAATAGTTGGAAGAAACTTAGTTGGAAGAAACTTATATGTACCATAGAATCACTAATGGACTCACTAATGGACTCAGTCATCACGTTGTCTATTGAGCACTTGTTTGTGAAAATAGAAAATTAATAAAACATTTATTAAAAAAATTCAAATATTAGTAAATAACCCATAAAACAGTTCAGCTACATCACAATTCTAATTATTGATAAATATATGAGATTTTTATATATTCATGGACATATTTTCAGTTGGGTTAACTATTGCCTCTTTGTAGAAGAGAACTTCAAAAAATAATTTAATCCTTTTGGAACAAGAAGCAGGGAGAATTGTTTTGATTAATTATAAATTATACTTTAATTATTTAAATAATTGATTTATAAGTATTTATGTTTCAAGCCTCAGTTGAGGGATGTATGTTTTTACTTTTTACAACACAGGAAAAGTATTTAAGGCTCTCCACACCCAGAATTCATAAGAATTCTGGTCTGAAGGCCAAAACAAACAAAACATTAAATACATTGATTGTCCAAACAGCAATAATGAGTTGGTTGCCCAAAACCGTCTGTTTATGAGTGTCATTTAATGTCATGAAATGACTGTTTTGCCATGGATAAGTTAAATATACTGTAGCCGATGTGGTTCCATCTGCAAATTTATTTACACAGAAGGAAAGGGCTTTAAAATTTATTTTAAAGTTTGGTTGAATTTCAAAGAGTGTTAAGTCCTGTTCTTTCCTCAGTGGTATTATTTCTCTACAAGAGGTTTACTAGCAATTTAACACTGTGGATTATAATGAGAGACCAAATCATATCAACAGTTCATGCTTTATGTACTCACATCAGCATTTCTTCACCGGGAAACCTAATTATACATATGTACAGATGGCATCCATCTTGGGATCATTATTTTTAAGAATGTGATGATACAAGCATTTTCCATCTAAGTATGGAAAGCACAGGGCTTTTTTTGTCATAGAACGCCCAGAACGGAGTTCCGGCACCTTTTTTGGATGGAACCTTGTAGAGTAGGCAAGTCGGGTTGTATGACGTGTGTGAGTTCCGGCATCTTTTTTCTTTACAAAAAAAGCACTGGGAAAGTATATCTGCTTTTTCCTGTTATCAATCCTGGGGATATGGGAAGCAGGGATGGGCTAAAAAGGTATCAGCATCATGGCAATTAGGAGAAGCTTAAATCTAGTGGTTTTGGCAGAGATTGTTCCATTTCAATTTCAACAGCATTATTTTTGGGGTCTCATTTATTTATCATATCCATAGCAACAGTTTCTTTGATAAATCTAAGTGATTTACATGGTAATCATCCCTCATTTTATCCCCATAGTAACCTTGAGAGGGAAAGTAAACTGAGAGAAAATGGGATTGGCCCAAAGTCAACCAGTGAGTTCCATGGTTGAAGAGAGTTTAACCTGAGTCTCCCTGGTCCAAATAACATAACTGCTGTGCCATTTTGCAATGAGGAATGAGATTGGTTTTTAGCTAAGTTATACTCTCAAGCACATAGATAAGACCAGTCACCTATTTTTGCACCTAATAATTACCATATGTTCTCCCATTTGCCATCTTAAAGACAGGGAAGGTGCTATGGAGAGAGAAGTTTCCATAATAGTTTAGAACAGGTTCAGGCCATATTTTTGCACCAAGCAGTTGCCTACTTTTTCCTGGTCACTGAACGGCACAGAGGACATGCCAAGGATGTAGAATGGCCCAGCTGCAACCTGAGTCTGCTTTTTGGAAAACTAGGGTTTTATTTTAGTAAAATAAGTGTCCAAAGTTTATCACAGCTTTAGTACTCCCATTTGACTGGTTATGTTTCTGGAAACAGTCAAGACTTCTATTGCCATAATTTGTTGCCAGATTTTAAGAATGGAGTGTTGGTGAACTCCATGGATTACAAGAAAAAAGCTGGAAAATTTAATACATGCGAGAATCAATGTTCTACTCAAAATTTATTTATTTATTTATTTATTGTATTGTATTTATATCCCGCCCTTCTCCTTACGGACTCAGGGCGGCTAACAGCCAGATAAAACAATTACAAAAATACAAAATACTATAATTAAAACACAATTAAAAGAAGATATAATATTTAGGCCTATGTTAATTTAAAATTATATTAAAACCCAGCTAAAAATTTCCCCTAGGCCAGTCCCGCTTGCTGAAATAGCCATCTCTTAAGGGCGCGGCGGAAGGAAGGAAGATCAGGGATCACCCTGATCTCTGGGGGTAGCTCGTTCCACAGGGTGGGAGCTCCCACAGAGAAGGCCCTCCCCCTTGGGGTCGCCAGCCGGCACTGGCTGGCTGACGGCACCCTGAGGAGACCCACTCTGTGGGAGCGTACTGGTCGATGGGAGGTAATCTGTGGCAGAAGGCGGTCTCGGAGATATCCAGGTCCTTCTTATATAATTAATCATTGTCTATAGGCCTTTGGGGGGATGGGGTCTGATTGGTCTAAAATCATTCACTGCATAGAGTTACAATTAATCAGAATTTAATGAGATATTAAATTTAAATTGCTATCAGAGACCAATATCATTTTTTCCCCTCCTCTGCTTTGCTGCTGTGTGGTGGCTAATCTGAAGTAAGTTCAGTCACCAGAATATAGTGCAGTGCATTGGGGTGAGCCTGCAAACGCTGCCTCGTTTTATCCTTTTGGAGCTGATGACTGGAGGAGATATGAAGAGCTTCCTACGGCAGAATCGGCCTCGGGAGGTGAGTCAGTTCTTCCTTTTCCCAACCTTCCCCCGCTCTGGCATCCAGTGAGCTGTTGAAACAGGATTTATTTTCACACTATTGCACAGCTTGAATAAAGTAGCTGCCATATAGGCAGCTTTAGTGACTGTCTTGTTTAGTGATCATTTGCAGTTACGATGGTGATGAAAAAATAACTTTATGACCAATCTTCAAATTTTTACACTTCGTAGGTCTGTAAAGCAAAAGAAAGCTGATGTAAGATGATAAGCATAGTCATGGTTTCACTTAGTGATAGTTTCATTTAACAGTGAAGTTGCCAGTCCCAGTTGCGGTCGTTTAACAAGTACTGCCTGTACTTGTGGATAAGCCAAGAATTTTAGTTACCAGAATACACCCCAATAAAGGAGAATATTTGTAGCTCCGGGTTGAAATGAGGGGTCCCTGGTGCTCTCTGAGCTTGGTTGTTTTCTTGCAGATGTTTCATTACCCAAATGAGGCAACAGCCTCAGTACTAGACCACTGCACTGACTAGCACTGATGATGTTACCTAGTTTGGATAATGAAATGTCTGCAAGAAAATCACCAAGCTCAGAGAGCACCAGGAATCCCTCAGAATTCACCCCCAACATTGAGTTCATTTTAGCCACAGATGGGATTATCTGCAAGTATGTAAGGTATTTATTTATACATGTATTATAAAGACCTGGTTGAGTTTGGAAGTGTGGGTTGCCCTTTCTGACCAGGTTTCAAGTGTGGCCAGGCAAACTGAGATTTCAGAGCAGGGATTAAAAAGGTACTTCCGTTTTACATTTGTCTTTTTATTTATTTATTTGTAAAATTTATTAGCCACCTATCTTGCGGCACAGTAATTCTTTAGTGCTTGCATCCTTCACCCTGTTAGGTACTGTATAAAGACTGATATACTGTTCTCTGTTTTTTTTTAAAATAAAAGATTTTATATAGATAATAAGAACTACATTCAAAGAAAGAAGAAAGAAAAACATTAGTAAAGTAAATGTGAGAAAAAGAATAGAATAGAAAAGGTAGAAAAAAGAAAAAGAATATAAAAACCAGGAAACACGAAGTATATATATATATGTGTGTTTGGCTTCCTATCCTCCTTGGCAGTTATACATACAACTCTAATCAAACCATTTTGTCCAACATTTCCTCGTAATTCCCTTCTCTCTATAACCTATTTTTTTCTAATCATCAAGAAGATTGCCATGTTGTTCTAAAATTATCTCTTGCCACGGGTTGGCATGCTGCACAATCCTAGCTGACTTTCTACATGCATAACAAAGTTTGTGGGATTGGCATTAGACGCTCTGAGCCAAAAAAGAAAAACTTCAAAAGTCACATTTCCCTCTTACTTGAAACACACACCCCAGGATATGGTGTATAATAAGCATGTAGTGCTTCAGAAAAATAACAGAAGAGATGTTTATTTTTTTTCTGGAAAGCACCATCTTTCTTGGCTTGAGCTGGCAGGGAAGAAGGCATAGTGAGAAGGGAGTGAGAGAGACAGTTTTTCCACTTTTAATTTGGTTCCGTTCCCTCTGTTTTTATTCGTTCCTTCAAATGGGAGAGAAACAAGCTATGCTTCCATCATAAAGAGACATCAATTCTGAGCTGAAATAGATCACTGTACCTGACATTTGTAAGCAAGGTCAATATTTCCCTATCTCTTTTCAATTTCTGAAGCAGGAGAGGTTGACACTTCAAACAGGTCCTGGGCACAATTAAACAATGTAAATAGTTCTTTATGTCACTTCCATCTTAATTGACAAGTGGTCCTCAATTAATGACCACAACTGGGACTGGCAACTCAGTCATTAAACAAAGGCGGTGGCTAAAGTGAAACTGCAATTGTGCTTAAGATCTTACTTCAACTTACTTTTGCTTTAAATTTATGAATTCAAGGATTGGTTGTGAAATTAACTTGTTCAATGATCATTGTAACTGTGAATGGTTGCTGAATGAGGCAGTTGCTAAACAAGGACTATCTGAATTTAATTTTCTTTGCCTCCCTCTTTCTCTCTCACAATGGCATGCCATACAGAATCAGCCATCTGCTTTAATGATGCTGGACTTGCTCAATATTGCCAGGGATATTGCTTGTGGTTGCAAATATCTTGAGGAGAACCATTTCATTCACCGGTAAGTAAAGTTCTTTCACATAATGATTGAGACGTGCTTTTTCCTTTGTTGGGTTCCCATGGATACCTTTTTTTTAAAAAAAATCAGTGATCCTGCATAATGTTACATTGCCCAAGTTGTGTCACTTGAAAAAAAAATCTTTTGCTTCCAATTTCTTATGACAGAACTATGGAAACTTGTGATTAGAGCATTTGCTGATCATGCTGCTATTGTGCTGTTTCACTCAGGAGTTCCTTCATTAGTAATCGCCCAATGCCTTCCTACACTTCATCTGTGTGTTTTTTTTCTTTTTTTACACAAGCATCCAGAAGGACAATAAGATGGAATAGCTGTTTACTGTGTACTAATATTGGGATGAGTGCTTTTGGAGGCATCCAAAGTGTTTCTGGCAGATCTGCTTCAAAACAGATAAAAACTTTGTTCCATGGAACAACTTATGACTTGAAGAATCATGACTTTCTAAAAATCTCAAGCAGAATTCTCATTGAAACTAACAACAGCTACTTGCGGTAGCCTTACTTGGTGCTATTTCAAGTAACTTATGTAATCACCGTGTGATCTATATTTCTTTATTTACTGTCCCAGAGCAATATTTAAAAATATAATATTACAACATATCTAGTATAAAATAATGATGTAAGGTAAATTATACAAAATAATAAACTAAAACTTATGTCAAAAAGCCAAATGCAGTTTTTATACTACCTTATGCTAACTTCAATCTTCCAGATTCCACTAGATGGCAGTGTTGCCTCAGAAGACCAAGTTGGCATCTCTCTCTTCTACCTTGCCTGTTTCCAAAAAAGCTAAGCAGAATTGGATTTAGTACAAGGCAAACCACTTTCATATTATTGCTGAGAAAATTCAGCAGTGATATGGAAGGGAAGTGTTTTAATGTGACATCTGAAGGAAATTACTAGCTATCAGCAATGTACAAAGTGTACATTAATAAAGATACTAATACTGAATTGACTACACTCCTGTATTTAGAAATGACAGGTTTTTGCAATGTGGGGCCTTATAGAAGATTTTAGCCTCCCAAAACTTACAACTAGCAAGGCATGTTTAGAAATATTGTTAGACTATACTTGGTGTCCTTTTTCAGTGTTCTGTATGTTGGATGGGGCTGACACGTGTTGGAATTTCATGGTATCTGGAGGAATGCCCATCTCTGCTTTAAATTATAAAATCTGTATTGGCCATGTATTGACTGATTTCTCACAGGATGGCAAAGAAGGACCAAGCTTTTCTCTCCATTACCTGAGGCATCTGTCATAAGCAGGGGATCAGACTTGTAATGAAATGAAGCAATTTCATATAAATCCTGTTTTCCTTCCTTCCGATTTCCTTTGCAATATAGCTTTAGAAAATGAGCATTTGTCAAGCTTTTTTAAAAAACAAAAATGCTCACCGTATTTGCTGTTAATACTGACAGTTTTGAGATTATAATTATTGGGATTAGGTGAGTAGATCGCCCATGGGGGGATGAATAAAGATTCTGAATTATTCAGCACTTTTAAAAAATGTACTTAAAGCAGCGACTAAATTAACCAAGTGCAAAAAGTGTATCTGAGCAACTGCAAAATTTGTTTAATGAGGGGTATATATCTCTTGAAAGCTAAACGCGAGTCTTCAGAACTGTGAGTTCCACAGCCTACTGAAAATCTTCAGAAACATTTTGCATATTTCTGGTATCTAGTAATTTCCCTCAGATGTCACATTAAAAATACTTCCCTTGGATCCAGCTTAACACCATGTACCAATAAAGGAGAATATTTGTAGCTCAGGATTGAAATGAAGGATCCTTGGTGCTCTCTGAGCTTGGCTGTTTCTGGCAGACATTTAATTACCTAACTAGTAAAACAGCCAAGCAGAGAGAGCCCCAAGAACCCCTCAACAGCATGTAGTTTTCTCAGCAACAACATGGAGATGATTTGCCTTGTACTAAGTCCAATCCTGCTTTGGCACCAGGAAGAATGGATATATTGCTGAGACTAGTCACATTGCAAACTATATTTCTATGGTGGATTTTGCACCCTATGAAACAGGCTTTTCAGGGGAAACAGTATTTGATTGTTTGAATGTAACAAGGTGTTAGGAGAACAACAGAGCTGTTCTTGTAAAAGTGAGCAATTATCTGATTCTGAAGTCTTTTAAAATGACTAACTTCCACTTTGTACACTTGTGACTTTTTTTTAAAAGGGATATAGCTGCAAGGAATTGCCTTTTGACCTGTTCTGGTCCTGGGCGAGTAGCCAAAATCGGTGACTTTGGAATGGCCCGAGATATCTACAGGTAAGGAGAAGGGAAGAGAGATTACTAAAAGTTGACTTCAGTGTGAAGAAAACATATCCGTGTCTAAAAATATTAAATTGAGAGAGCAATCCGTAGCACTTGTACTTGATTATGCAGCAGTGGAGACATTATCTGTGGAACAATCCATGGAATAAGAAGGAAGGTAGAATGATGGGCGATTTGTTTATTGATGCTAGTGAAGGTTTAATTTTAGGAATAGACGATCAGACTTACTTGTGTGAAATGCAGTCTTGCGGAGAAAATGCAGGGAAGAAAGAAAGAGTGGTTCTTTTTCCTGCCTTACAAAGCATCTTCTTTTTCTTATTTGGCCAGGGCAAGCTATTATCGCAAAGGTGGGCGAGCCATGCTTCCGGTCAAGTGGATGCCTCCAGAAGCTTTCCTGGAAGGCATCTTCACTTCCAAGACAGACACCTGGTAAATAACTTTGCTTTAATCTTGCCCTGTGGAATTGGCTTCATAACGGCTGAGAAGTCCATTCAAAGCATTCAGGAGACTTATTCCCAGCTAACTGCAGATAGGACTACAGGCTAAATCACTTTTTCAAGATGAACAGAAGTGGTTGGGACTGTTGTGGCGGAAACAATATTTTGCTAGCTCTCTGCCCACAAATAATGGGAGGGTGGTTGGGAATCAGTGGAAGAGACTGGGATAAAGAGCTTTGAGGGTGCTAACCCAAAGGATAAATACTCTGAATTCATTCATCTTAGGTCCTTTGGAGTGCTGCTTTGGGAGATTTTCTCCTTGGGCTATATGCCTTATCCATGCAAAACCAACCAGGAAGTATTAGAGTTTGTTACCAGTGGAGGAAGAATGGACCCTCCCAAGAATTGTCCTGGACCTGTGTGAGTATGATGGCTTTATTCAATAAAAAGGGGGACATTCAGAAAACAGTTCAAGATTGTTTTTAATATGGCCGGCCACTTTTTAAAGTTTAGGATTATCAAAACCACACCAATTTAGATAAATGTTGTGCTTACTTCCTACCCACATTGGAGACTATGCAGACCACACACAGAGAGAGAGAGATACACATAGAAAGACAAACAAATCAGCTTTATTTTCCTTAAATGCACTAAGGAAATGAGCAAGGAGAGAGTAAAAAAAAAGGAAGATTGTGCCTGATCTCCTATTATAGCTGGTTGAAAAACTTCTGGCCCTACTTTTTGTCATAAAATTATGAACATGATCCCCATCTGAATATTTGCTTCCGACACGAGTGCTTGTGAATCATCTCAGAGGGAGATCTCCTGAAGGCATGACCAGCATTATTTCACTGGACCCTTATTTAAAGTCCCTGCTGATGCTGAAACCTCATCTTTTCTAATAAAGGGGAAACCTTCCTCTCTTCATTTGTTTGAGGGAAATTATTCTTTTTTTTTCAATTTCTTCTCCAAGCTATCGGATCATGACACAATGCTGGCAGCACAGTCCTGAATACCGTCCAAATTTCTCTACAATCCTGGAAAGGATCAAGTACTGCACACAAGTAAGTGGTCTTCTTGTGCAAAAAAGTTGACTTATTCCTGCTTTACTCTTTAGAGTAAAGGTCCCTCCCAGCTCTATTCTGATTCAGGTTTTCTGAAGAATTAGAGAAATTTTTATGTTCAGAGGCATAATTGATTGTAATCAGAAATTAATAAGATATTTTCTTCACTTCTGGTAAACGTTAAGAGAAGAAAGTCGGGCACACATACACATCATGCTTACTGCCTCAGTTAATCACCATCTCTCTTCCAGAGCATATGTGGAGAGATTCTCAATCATTCAGATTATGGTTGTCCCAAAGATGCTTTTTCAAAAGGCAAGTGGACTTTATTGTTTTTTCCTTGAAGATGTTTCGCTTCTCATCCAAGAAGCAATTCATCATTCACCATTCACCATTCACCATATTCACTTCACTATTCATTCACAACTGAAGAAGCTTCTTGGATGAGAAATGAAATGTCTTCAAGGGAAAAAAACAAGAAAGCCCACTTGCCTTTTGAAAAAAGCAATCTTGAGACTTCCAGAGCATCATTTCTAAGTTAAGAAAGAACATGCATCTATGGATTTTGTTTAGTTTGGTCTTGAACAACTCTGTGAGAGAGTGTTAGCTAAGTGCTTTAACAAAGAGTAGTACAAGAAATCCAACATCTTGGTTTGTCTTTTAGGACCCCGACGTGATCCATACTGAATTACCCATTGAATGCAGCCCCACACCCGAGGATGAAGGAAGCACTGTGCTACATCCAAATAGCAACACAGGGATAATTCCTTTGCTTGGGAATCAGTGCCCTCAGATAAACCACCAAGCATTTGAAGAACATGATTCTGGGAACAAATATGGACAATGTCCCCAAGAGTTATTAGTGGAGAACCTTAGTAACTGGAGAGCAAGAGGACCAAGCTTACCACGTTTCAACTATTCCAGCAGTGGGGCTTGGGCTCAGCCAGTCTTAAACCAGAATCTGGATTCCGTAAGTCAACCAGCACATAAGTTGAAGAACAAAACCAAAAACCTTTGGAACCCAACGTACGGATCCTGGGTCATGGAGAATAATTGCCAATCCAGTCCCAGCTCTAAACTCAACACAATGCAAGAGCGAGAAGATTCAGGATTTGATGGGAATTATAGTCCCTCCCCTAGTTCTCGGGCATCACCTTCATCTCCAGGTCAGAACCATTCCCCTCACATTGATATTGGTGGCATTGAACTGGTGAAGCTGCAGAATTTCCCTTGTGGCAATGTGAATTATGCTTATGATGACCTCTGCTATGAAATAGGTCACCCTTCACCTTTGGCTGCAGAGCCAGCCACAGTCATGAGGAGTGGAAGTCTGCACAGGGATAGCAAGCTTGTTTTCAAGACAGAGAAAACCTCAAGGGAGAGAGATTCTGGCCTCTCCTTGTCTGATGATCTGAATGTTACTCCTGTATAACGGGATGCTGAAGAATCATGCCTTCAACTATGGATACAGCTGCAAGAGCAATTAAAATATCCTCCATCCCTATTCTTAAATTAGGTGGATTAATATCCTCCTTTCCTATGAATGCCCAATGAAGCAGTTCAAAATGTAACATTGGTTCCAACCTATTAAATTTGTGGTTACAGAAAGAAACAAGGTCCTTGTTACAATGGTTCAGGGTTTAGTTGGAAATGGTCATACCCAATCACCTCTAATAAAAATGATCTGTATCATAAAATAGAATATATAAGAAATGGCAAAACCAATAATTACCAGTTTAGACCAGTGGTCTGTAAATTATTGTACTTTCCAATTGATTTATCATAATACTGTATGGGCAATTAAATATATTTACTTAAGGCACTAAGGCCCAAAATGAATGGTAACAAAAAAGCTAGCATTAAGGAAGTACAGAAATTATCTGTTTTCTGCAGAAAAAGCACAGAAAACAAATAAAAGGAGTGTGAAGGGGCAAACAGAACTGATGCCTTCCTTTTCATTACTGAAAATGGTTTTGCTTCACAAAGCCCAACTTAGATCTCAGGACTCAGAATTATTCCTCCTTAGTTGTAGCGCAGTGGACTATATGCTTTTAATGGACCTCACAAGGCACCCCTAATGTACAAGCAGTCTGTGTTCAATAGTAGCAACTCATGCTTCAGTAGAGATCTTTTTTGTAGGAATACACATATAATAACGTAAACTCTTTGAAGGTGAAGCATAGCCAAGTTAGATGCTTCAAACAGTATCAACAAAAAAGCATTTTAATTTTCAGGACAATCTTGCCTTATTAAGTAAACTTTGGTCTCAAATTTTATCCTCTAATAGCTGTTTGTGCTGTTAAGGAGTAAAATTCCAGATCAAGTGCCAGCAACATTCTTGAAAATTAAAGAGTTTTGATTTAAGCTTATTATTAGCAAGTTCACTACAGGGTTGGGGAACAGAAAAGGACATTTAGAAGCAGCATGAATTTATTAAGCAATGTAACTCTTTAAATCATAAATCTTTATAGAAAATTCCCTTTCATGGATACATTTCTATTTTACACAAGGTAACTTATAACCTAAGTATCTTTCACTGCAGGGAATTAATACACAGTTTAGAGCTGTCAATGGATTCAGAAGACTGTGTACAGTATGTTCTTGTACCTGATGTATAAACTGAATAGATGCTCAAGAAACTTGTTCAAGGCTACATATTTTCCTCTTTTTTAGAATCAGTCTTTCTGTATCTGTTATCTTACGGTTCTCCAAGTGAAAGATAAAGTCTTCAGAAGATGTTCAGTATTGTTCTATTGTTATCAGTTCTTGAGCTTAGCTAAACTTTTCTCTTGGACTTGATTTAGTGACCATGGTCTAGATAATAGATTTCCTGATGTTTCAGTGGCAACTGTGGCTGGGATTTTCAGAGGGTACATACACCACCTTGTCTCTGAAGATGCCAGCCACAAGTCCAAGTGAAACATCAGGAAATTGTCTAGACCATAGTTACTAAATCTTGAAACCCAACACTGCTCAACAGATACTGGCTGTGAAAGCTTACACCGGCATATTCTTGTCTTAAGAGTTTGGTGTAATGGGCAATTAATAGGTATATGTTATGTTTGCATGTCATTTTAATCACAATATCTGCCTTATTGGCAGTAATGGACTTCTTTCCACAAACTCCCAAAGATTTTTAACTCCCAAAACATGGGAATCATGAAGTAAGACCTAAGTAATTCATTGGTTTGGCGCAGCAAAAGCAGAAACTTTTCTTGAAGACCACTGTTAGAACTTTATTTAGCAAAATTAATTATTAAGAAACATTTCCCAAAGATATTTAATACCACTGTTTTAGAAAAATAAAGTCCTTACTGTTAGCGCACAGTGCTTTTACTTTGTATCTCTATAATCTACACGGTTATACAACTTCTCACTGGATCCCAAGATCCTGGTTGCACTTCTTACTTTCTCACTACTTGTTATGGCTTGCAGTGCTATCTTAATAGTTTACTTTGATCCAGGCATAATTTGATCTACCATCCTGTTCCGACATTCCTTTTCTGCAGTAGCCTAGAAAAAAATTACTTATTACTTCATCCTTTTCGCTTTTGTACCGAGGATCTGGGATTACCTTTAAGGATGGGAATGCTATTTGCCATCTTACCCTTTAATGGTAATGCTTCTATGCAACTTTAAATCATATTAAGGTATACATCTACATGTAACAGAGATATAAAGGCAGCCTAATAGAACTCTTTAGTCTTTATTATTCAGAACTATTTTTCATGAATGCCAAAGGATAAAATACTCCTCCAAAATTGTAATTTCTCAGCAGATGTAGAGCCAATTCCAGATTCAGGTCTATTGAGGCATCTCTGTAATTGCAAGATCCAATCTGGGTCGGTCACCAGGACCAGAGGTTTAGTCTTCCGAGCTTTTGGACTCGTGTTGGAGCCCATCTTCAGGGAACTTCTCTCTCGTCAGAATGTGTCACATTAAGGTGAGAGAGAAGTTCCCTGAGGATGGGGGCTCCAGCACAAGTCCCAAAATGCAGAAGACTAAACCTCTGGTCCCAGTGACCGACCCATATTGGATCCTGCAACATTATCCTTGGACACGTATATTTGCCTTCATTATAATTACTATAATTATTTATTTGTAATTATTTCATCTCTTTCCAGCCTCTGAAGCGTTCTTTGGAAGAAAAATTACGGTAGCAGTATGTGTAGGATCAGAGGATTATAAATGGAAAAAGAGATTGACTCCTCATAAAATTCCATGCTAAGGCAAGACTATTGTGCAATATTGTGCCTTATCTGGTATACCCTCTAGTTATATTTAGAACAGAGCAGCTACGTTACTTATGACATTAAGCTTACGTTAATTTAAATGAGATTCCTCTGCGATAAACCAAATTGCTATTTGGAAACAGCAGTATCAATCCCCCTACAATGCATGGAACAGTACTATATGCTTTCATTGTTTTTTACTGATACAATAAAAGTAATTGTAAAAAGATAAATCCTTTCAGTTGCATCACTAGAACACATATATATTTCAGGGTGTATCTTGGCATTATGTTACAACTGAAGAATGGGAATGCTCAGTCACAAATGTTTATTATTTCATTGTTTTTTAAGAAAGAAAATGCCACTCCATTATTCACTCCGCATAACATTTCCCATCACTTCAAAAAGAAAAAAATACTATTGAAACCATCTTATTAGCTGTGCCTATTTGCAATCAAGATATGTTAATGAGAACTCAGTTCATCAGTCCCCATAGAGGCTTACATTTACATTTTAGAAAATATGGGTGATGCTGTCATCCCCAAAAGTAAACCAGGAAGTCAACTCCACAGGCATATTAAAACTAATTTTATTAAGTAGTTTTAAACTACTTTATTAAGTAGTTTTAAACTACTTTTATTAAATAGTTTTAAACTACTTTTATTAAGACGCTTGTTGCAAGACGATTGTTCTGTTCTGTTCAACTAATCAGGAAGGCACATATCTGACTCGGTTCCTGAATGTCATCCCATCGTGGACTTGAAAAACACATCAATCCCTTTTGCCTACCCCTGACCTAGGCCCTAGACCATTTTCTAAACTTTTTTCCTCTCATGACATCTTCCCAGTTTTAAAAATTATGGAGAACACCTAAAGAGATTTTGTTTGTATGGGTTATATTTAAAAATTAGAGTTGACACATTCACTATTGCTACTGCTTCTCACAATCGTTTGAGGGGACTTTAATATTGTATTATTTTTCCACATAAGATGGCATATAAATTTGACCTTGTGGGACCCTTGAGAAGTCTTGGGGACTTCCAGAGGACCTCACTTTAAACCGGCATTGGCCTAGGCTAGGCGATGTATCTTGCATATGTCCACCAGGGACAGCTTTGTTACTCCCTATGGATTGGCCTGGTGTTTCAGGATATCATTTTAAACTATGCCAGTGGGAGGGAATTTTTTCCATTCCAGACTGTTGGGGAGATACACTGATATGTCAGATTTGCTCTTATCATCCCACCTCATTCCAAGAAAGGGAAAGCTCAACCTCGGCCCAAAAGTAGAGCAATAGTAAAGCATGTGCAGTTTCCAACACTCTTCTTAGCACCCCCACATTCTTATATGGCAGGGGTAGGCAACCTTGGCTCTTTTATGACTTGTGGACTTCAACTCCCAGAATTCCTGATCCAGCATGGCTCAGCTTGGAAACCTCTCCCTTTCTCCTCAGCATGGCTGGCTCAGGAATTCTGGGAGTTGAAGTCCATGAGTCATAAAAGAGCCAAGGTTGCCTACCCGTTATAGGGGAAAGGACGTTAGATCAACTAGTATGCTGGTCTCAATGCATATTTTTCCTTTGTAAGGATAAGGAGTGTTGTTTTCAAGAAAAGAAAGAGGAAGCAAAACAAGAGAATCTCTCTTGTGCTTCTGATAAGAGTTTTAGAACTTCAGGATTATTGTATCACTTCCTTTTTACAGTTCCCCTTCCCACCACTTATATCAATGGCAATATATTATTTCATTTAAAACAAATCTTGTACAATAGTATCTCCACTAATAATTAATAAAATCTTTCCTTCTCTACTATGGGTCTGAGGAAAATATTGTGAATCCCATAGATTCTTTGTTTTCTGAATACTACTACTGTGCATGCATTCATCTAATTTGACATTCGTCTGTCCCCAGTAAAGAAAGAGACATGATATCAAGAATAAGAGGACATGTAATATAAAAGTTTAATGAACATATTTTTAATTATATTTATTTGTTATAGCACATCTTGACTACCAGGTTCTTAAACCCATACAATTAGGACACCCAAATTCTTTGCAGTGTAGTGTTTGGCACATTGTCTATAAATGAAAAGCTTTTTGTATGCTAGTAGTAATAAAACTAGAGTTGTAGTTAAAGTCAACCTGGCTATCCGAAAACAATTTCTCATCATTAATGACTCATAGAATTCAGCAGGAGAGGATCCAGTTTGAATATACCTTTTTCCATTTAAAATCCACAATTCTAAATCCTCAATGGATTGTAAAACTCTTTTTAAGTACAAAATTATTTGCCATTCTCTATATTGCATTTTTCTTTTCAACTCTTAAGTAAATGCATTTCAACATATGGAGTCTCACAGCAACCCTGTATGAAAAGCATGTCTCAGTTACTTTTTAAAAATATAGAGAAATATTTCTTGGAAGGTGTAAGGAGAAGGAAATGTTTGTGGCACTGAATTTGAAGTATTTTTCAGTGTGTCATTTTCCTCTCTGAAACTTATGGCAACCATTTCTTTTAAAAGGGGATGGGAAACCAAAACATATTTCATAAAATTTCCTTGATTAGGATCTTTTTAAGAACTATCTGTTTCTCTTAGATAGTCCTAAGGACCACATTTTAATAAAACAGGTAAAAGGCACCAGAGAAGATAATTATGATCAAATATGGTAAGCCAATCCTACCACAGAGAGCTTGGAAAGATTGGGATACAAAGAGGCAAAATTGGAAAAAACAAAAGCTATCCTTTGTGTATTTTTATGTCTATAACCTGAGCAATAACTAGTCAGAAATTACAGATTGTCTATCAGATCTAAGATGGAGAGGCAACCTAGCATGATGATGAAAATAAAATAGCAGAAGGCAACAGAAACTCAGTAAGCCTTTGAACAGGTAAGGGATTACCAGATGCAAAATTTATATAATATCTTAGGAAGAGGAGACTCTCTATACATAACTATAGAGAAATACTTAAGTATTTCTAAACTCCCAAGACCAAAACCAGAGGTTAACTAAAAAAATTTCTGGGGGGAAAAGGTGGATCTATGGAGACTTCTTCTGCTTGCCTTTATAGTGTTATCTACCATGACACTCAAGATGAAATTTGACAAGATTCTATTTTAAACTCTTCCCTTGAAACCTCTACTAGGAATTGGTAATATAGTGACCATAGATGTTTTCAATCAAATCTCTTATAACATTCTTGGAATTAACCAAGAATGTTGAAATGCATAATCTTAAAACACCTGGAGTGCACCAAGATACCATCTGCATATCCCTCTAACAATCCATCATTTGGAAAACCCTAAAGAAATTGAAAACAAAATTATTCCCAAGCCACTTTTGCTATTTAGTTCCATGAATTCCTACCTCATTATAGTGTTATAGCATATCTGCATCCGGACATGCCCTTGACATACAATCTGGCCGGGATGCATTTCAAGCAACAAAATTGCCATTTTTTCCCAGAGGCAGCTAAAATGCAGCGTTTATTCATTTATTTCATTCTTCACTCCTCAATTGGAGAGCAGCTGCCTGCCATGTTCCTGCCTCATCCCCAAGAAAGACTTCAGCATGGGCTCGTGATGGAACAAACTGAGCTGCTTTGGAGAAAGGATAGGCTTGGAATGCTTTGAAAATGGAATGGAAGGTCACAAACTAAGTTTATTATAAAACTTTCTGGTGTTCTGACCTCTTTCTCAACATGTATAAGCAGCAGCAATATATAAATGAGTTGTTTTCATTAAAAAAAAACTCAAAGAACTTTTGGGCTGAAATACATTTTTACATAATTTTGTTCCATATCATAATTTCCAATCCCGTGTCTAATTATCATACAAAATTCTACATCCATCTAATCCTGTATCAACTTTGTAAGATCTATTTCTTAAAAAATAAACTACATATAAAAAATATATTTAGTAGCCATTTTTAAAAAAAATCTGGCAATTACAAGTTTAATTTAAAATTAGTTACTTCAGAAGATTCTCACGTTACACTCAGGGGTTGCTATGAAAGTTGAAAACTGTGAACACCAATTTTGAATTCTTCAACAAAATAGTGGTGGTGTTGCCTGGACAGCTTCAATTTATTTCTCAAGAACCTATATATAAATAAGTGAGGATTTATTTTATTTATCTGCTTTTTAGTGTACATCAGAGCCTTCTTCTTTTTTGTGAGGTTTTTTTTCCCAGCATGAAATAGCAAAATGTTTATATCATCTCATCCATTCTGCAATTAGACCAAAAGAGATATGGAGATGAAAGAACTGGAGTGACTGAAACTAACTTGTGAGTCTGCTGAAACTGACAAGCAAATGGCAGGTCATTTTTTTTTTAATGCTCATCAGACTGTCTACACAGGAAGAATGGAGAAAACACAAGTGCTCTTAGCATTTAATGTGCAGCCTCCAGAATCTCTCAAAAGTGTGTGAGGCTGAATTTTTAGCCCATTTTTTAAATTTAATGTTACCCCTTAATATGTTCTCCTGAACCAACCAAAACATCAGGAAATTATTATTATTTTCCCCTAAAGTCTTCGGACTTTAAGGGGAGAAGCAGATGCCGTTTCACTCCAAAACCGGAAAAGCGGGTCACATTTTCAACCTTGCCCACTTCACTAAGGATGAAAAAGCTTCTCTCTTACTGTTCTATGGAGAAAAAGGTACTATAATTAAATACTATGTCAAATGAAAATTAGCCTCAAATATTTGAAAAGCTGAAAAGTATTTTGGCAGCTCTAGCCCTTAAGATGATACTAACATGCTATGGAATTGCAGAGATGTTCACAGAAATGGAGCCACAGAGGTATGTATGATGGTCACCCAACCGATACATAAGGACTACTTTTTATTCCTCTGTTATTGACAGAAGATACCTTCAGGTTTGCTATAGAGCATAAGAGAATTTCAAGCAAGCACACCCAAAGCCTTGAATCATAATAGCAAAGGGAAAAAATGTTAGGTCACATAATCACTGAATTTATATGGCTATACTGTAGCAAACAGGAGAATATACTCTGTAAAATCAGCCCATCTTAATTTTTGATCAGTGTGACTTTAAGCCTACCTCAAATCACAAGAATCAGGAATTAATATTGCAAAGTTTCTCTTTTGTTACATTCACTTCCTTACCCAAACAATCAATTAAATGTACCAGATTTAACTGATCTATTGAGTGGATTTTTTAACACAAAGCCTAGGCATCAAAAACCTGAAACACACACACTCCCAAACATCCTGCTTGATCATTTTCTCCTTATACCTCGCAAAAGCCTGCTAGTAGACCCAAACAGAAATGCAAAGTGAGGAAGCCACTTTGTGATTAAGCTGTTTTATCACTGGGTAACAAGGCTGAAGGTTTAGTCCTTGGATATGAAAAAAGTCTGTGTCAACTAGATAAACTAATAATCAGGGCTTTTTTGTCATAGAATGCACCGGAACAGAGTTCTGGCACCTTTTTTTGACAGATTTTCCAGAGTTGCCTTGAACAAAATCCTAGTCTTTTAGATACACTAAAAATTGAAGGGTTTTTTTTTCAACTACAAAGATAAAACTTGTAGAGTAGGCAAGGCGGGTTGTATGATGTGTGTGAGTTCCGGCACCTTTTTTTTTTTTTTTAACAAAAAAAGCACTGCTAATAATTGTTTCATTTCATAAACTGAGTCATTAAAGTAGGATCCCACAAACATTCAAATACATAGTGACTGATTAGGTGTCACTTCTGTATTCACAAACACCAGAGTCACTGAATTTATCCTGAAGCTAAATATCTCAAAATACACGGCTCTTCTTTGACTCTACAACAGTGGTTCTCAACCTTTTTAATGCCGCGACCCCAACCGGTCGTAAGTCGAGGACTAAACCGGTCGTAAGTCGAGGACTAAACCGGTCGTAAGTCGAGGACTAAACCGGTCGTAAGTCGAGGACTAAACCAGTCGTAAGTCGGGGACTACCCAACCGGTCGTAAGTCGAGGACTTTCCCTGCCCGGGAGCGCCACGCATGCGTGGTTCTGCCCCGAGCCGGCCGAGGTGTAGCTGGCAAGCGGCAGAGATGGAGCAGGCCGACCACCAGCTGGCCCAGCCCAAGGGAGGTAAGGCACCCGCCGGAAAAGGAGAAAAAATGGTGGACAAAAAAAATGTCGGACAAAAAAAATGTCGGACAGCCTTGCTTGGCGACCCCCGTGAAATGGTCGATCGACCCCAAATGGGGTCCCGACCCACAGGTTGAGAACCACTGCTCTACAATCTCTTGGATTACAGGAATCTTAAATTTAGGAGCCTTAAAATTAGTCTCAGGTTATCTTTAAACATGTTAGCAATTAGAGACATTAATGCAATTAGATGGGAACCAAAATCTTTAGATGAGAACCAAAATTTTAGCTTTTACCGTTGTTAAGCACCTCTACCAGAGAGAATCAGTCACACAGAGACAGATACTCACTCAAGCCTAAATCTGAAACAGAATAAATATACCAATTCATGTCCTTTGCATGAATTGATTTGACGTCAATTATACCCAGAGTTCTTTATATATGGCAATTTAAAAATCTATCTATACATAGATGTGAGCAAGTTAAACAGGTTAATTTGGTATGCAATATTTAGAAGTGGCAACTGTATTGACAAAGTGCATAATATTTTTGGAGGGACAGGAAGGAAAAAAAAAACCAAAGGAAATCTAGCAAAGAAAGAGAAAATTAAGACAGAGTGTGGGTAGGATCAAGAATAAACTCTTGCATTGTCTATGAGAGGCCATTTGGTTTCTGAAGCTTCAGCAGCATTCTGTGCATATTTTCATTTTTTTCTGTACAAGAATAGAAACTAAAGTATTTGTTTTTTTTAAAAAAAGGGAAAACTATGAATCTATATATTCTGCACCAAGTTCCAAGATGTGTTGCACATTTGTGAACACGGAAATATTTACAGTGTAAACGCTGGAGAAAGGAGGGAACCCTGCTTGTTAGTTTTGAAGATTTCTTCTTTGAAAAGGAGAGCTCTGATATATTTTTTTTTTTTACTCTAAGCCCAAGGTCAATAAACAGCAATACTGAATTAGTTGGTTCACATGTAAGCAAATGTTCTGATCATCATCCCAATGTTCACAATCATCCTATTTCTTGCATAAATCTTATGTTTGCTTGGTGCATTCAAAATTAGCTTCTGAACTGTTTAGGTTTCATGGCTTGTTAGGAATTACATCTTTTTTGCTGGAATATTCCATGTTCTGGACCCCCCCCAGAGTCCTGGAAGAATTTTAAAAGGCTTCGGAGGGAGCAATTCTAGAAAAGTTAGCAACTTCAAGTTAGTATTTCTCATCTCTCCAACATACTTTCTAAGATATCAATTAAATTGTCCAGTCCAAATAAATATCCATCTTCCCGGTTCCCTTCTTGCCAAGCAATCCTGTGGTCCAAGATTTGCCCATCTGGAAGAAAGGTAGTCTTTCCAAAATCAATGAGCCACACATTGGCATGTTCACTTTCATCGTGCACAAATAACAGTGAACTTCCAATTACCTACAGAAAACAGAAAGAGACAGAGATGAAGACCAAAAGCTGATTTATTAAATTTCCTGAAACCTGTTACACATAAATATTGACTGATGGTGATTCCACTCTTCATATAGCTAGAACTAACACACTACCAGTTTATAAAGAAATGTGTGCATCCTTTGACTAATAAAACCCACAAATGTTCTACATGGCCTGTCCAACAAAGACTTATCTCGACAGAAAACTGGATTTTGTGGGATTGATTGATTGATCCAATTTATCCAACTTCTTAGCAACTTACAAAAAAAAACCACCCACCCTATAGAAAAAGAAATCATAGCCCACCAGAGAAACAATACAACTAACTATAAAACCAAATTTAAATAATGGAGACTCCACAACCAAAGGGCTACATGTTTTAGTGATTTACTGAAAATCATTAGATTCATATATACATATACATACATATACATCTGGAATTATGTCATTGCAGAGAGCAACTACTGTAAGAGAGAAGGCACATTTCCTGGGTCTTTTAAAATGATATTGTTTATTGTACAGTAGGTAATGGTAGGCAACTGCTTAATTCATACATAAAACAGCCATAAACAATATTTACTGGGATTATTTTATATTCACTAGTTTAGTTTCAACTTGAAGATAAAAAAGGAGCATACAGTATAAATGGCATCTTTATAGCTTTCACCTGAATATTATAGACACAGAGCTAAATAGCTAATACTGTTGAAGGCAATGGGTTGAAGGCAATAAAGATCTTTCAATGTTTTATTTTTGATATTAGATACAAGGAAGCTTATTCGGGCATACATTTCCATTTTTGAAGCCACGGCCATTAAGAGATTCTTGAATTTTGTAACAAGCAACAAGGTTTGGCTATACGCTGTTTCAACATGCCATTCCCAGCTTTATTTTCTAAGCTGCATCATAATTTGGTTTCAGGCAGATTCACAGAAAGTGAGGTCTTGTATTGGAAAAAGGCACTGGAACTAGATGGCCTTCGTGTTACATTTTAGCACATTTGTATTTAAAATTTCTTGCAATTATTGAATAGAAGCAGATAATATAAATGCATGTTTAATTAAATATACCACTACTTACTAGAGCAATCAGAGCAACTCACCTCATGTTGTTTAAAGAAGACAGAAGACTCAAGGATGCCACGAATTTCACACAGACGCTTTAAATATTTTTTCTGTCCAGAATAGAACAGAAGCAGTGAATCATTTAAAAGTATTTCTGCCACATAGGCAAAAGGAAGATTAACACAATAGTGGGGGGGGGGGACATCAGAAATTATATTGTCATTGATCCATCTGAGATACAGTCTACCAACAATCTTGCAGAAACCTAATTCCTGACTGCCGAGCTGAAGTATTTGCTACCCATCCTAGAGCTGACAGAAAACTATAACAGAATGTCCATCCTGCCAATCCCTATATTCTATTTCTATCATCTCTTTTCCCATCTTTGATGCAATAGTATCTCTGCTGACCCTGCTAGCTTCCGTTAGCAGAGGCCTTACTGAGTGTAATCAATATACTGCTGACACTTTACTTCAAATCTCCATAAACAATCTGATCCAGTATTTTCATATACAGTATAATAAAAGGGAATCTGCCGTTTCACAGCCTCATCTTCTGCACCTGCTCTTCAAGTAGTACTAGATCTTGTACAAAGGAGGATCAGGTAGCCAAGAAAAAAACCGGACCAAACAGTTAAACATCAACCTGGGAAGATCCTAGAAAAGATCATCAAAAAACAGATCTGTGAACAACTAGAAGCAAACAAAGTTATAACTAGTAGCCAGCACGGGTTTGTTAAAACATATCATGCCAAACCAATCTTATTCTTTGACAAAGTGACTAAACCAGTAGACCAGCAAAATGCTGTGGACATAGTATACTTAGATTTCAGTAAGGCATTTGATAAAGTAGACCACAACCTACTCCTTGGTAAGCTAGAAAAAGGTGGAATAGACAATATCACCACTAGATAGATTTGTAGCTGGCTGGCAAACCGAACACAACGAGTAGTCCTCAACAGCACTACATCCACATGGAGAGAAGTAAGCAGTGGGGTACCACAAGGTTCCATCCTAGGCCCAGTACTCTTCAATATCTTCATTAATGGCTTAGATGAGGGAATTGAAGGGGAACTCATCAAATTTGCAGATGATACCAAACTGACAGGAGTAGCCAACACCCCAGAAGACAAACTCAGGATGCAAAAAGATCTTGTTGGGCCCTATCCAACAAAATGAGTTTCAATGTGGAGAAAAGCAAAGTTTTACATTTAGGCAGGAAAAATCAAAAGGTACAAGTACAGATTGGGCGAGACCTGGCTTAAAAACAGTAACTGTGAGAGGGACCTTGGAGTCCTAGTAAGTAGACAATCACTTAACCATGAGCCAGCAATGTGCAGCAGCAGCCAAAAAAGCAACCACACTGTACTCCTTCTGCTAACCTGCTCTTCATCTTTGGCAGCATCTCTCTTATTGCCTGCATCTGGGACAGACCAGACTATTCCATTCCACCCTAGTATGACATTGATTTAAAAGTCTATGGAGATTCTCAGTCATCCAGGTCATGGTTGACCCAAAAGTACTTTTTCACAAGGCAACTTGGACTTTCTTTCTTTCTTTCTTTCTTTCTTTCTTTCTTTCTTTCTTTCTTTCTTTCTTTCTTTCTTTCTTTCTTTCTTTCTCTCTTTCTTTCTTTCCTTTCTTTCTTTCTTTCTTTCTTTCTCTTTTTTTTCTTTCTTTCTTTTTCTGTCTTTCTCTCTCTCTATTTCTTTCTTTCTTTTTCTTTTTTCTTTGAAGATGTTTTGCTTCTCATCCAAGAAGCTTCTTCAATTCTGACTGGATGGTGAGGAATGGAAGGATTTATATTCCTTGCAGACAGCTGGACATTTGCATTCTTTTAGAGAATCCTTGATGTCACCCAGAGGCTTATCTGTATCATCAGGGTCACCTGAGTAGTGCAAATGGGTGTGGTGCCTTCTTGGAACCTTTGAAAGGACTGTATTGTAGACTGAAGATGATGTCGTATCCCTCCCCCTCTGTTGAGAGGAGGCTGTTCAATTTTGACATAGATGGCCTCTTTGACCCCCTCTTTCAAACCAGCAGTCCTCTCTGTCCAAAATGTGGACTTTACTGTTTTCAAAAGAGTGGCCTTTTTCTTTTAAATGCAGATGGACTGCTGAATCTTGTCCTGATGGGTTTGTTCTCCTATGTTGTGCCATTCATTTATGAAGTGGTTGTTTTGTTTCCCCAATGTACAGATCTGCACATGGCTCACTGCACTGTACTACATATGCCACGTTGCTCAGTTTGTGTCTGGGTGTTTTGTTCTTGGGGTGGACAAGCTTCTGCCTTAGTGTATTCATGGATTTGAAGTGTGCACATATGTTGTGTTGGCTGAAGATCCTTCTGAGCTTTTCCGATATTCCTGCAACGTACGGAATGACTACATTGCTTCATTTATTGTTTTCTTCTTTGTCTGCTAGGGAGGAGTTCCTGTTGGGTCTTTTTGGGGGATTTGATGAACGCCTACTTGGGATAGCCACATGTTCTGAGGGCTTCCTTGATATGTTTTAGTTTTTTTTGTTTTCTTTTCCATCTTTGCTGGTAGACAGACCTTCAGCTCGGTGGTGTAGGGTTTTTATAACTCCCATTTTGTGCTCCAGTGGGTAGTAAGAATCAAAATGTAAATATTGATCTGTGTGTGGGGGGGGGTTTCTGTAAATTTCATATATAAATCCTTCCATTCCCCACCATCCAGTCAGAGTTGAAGAAGCTTCTTGGATGAGAAGCAAAATGTCTTCAAAGGAAAAAAGAAAGAAAGAAAAAAGAAAGCCCAGTTGCCTTGTGAAAAAGCACATTTGGGACTCTGATTTAAAAGAAAAATCCGAAGAGACTTTTTAAAACAAATTCTTAAGATCTCTTTTGATGGTAATAATGGCATCCTGGCTCCTTGTAAGAAATCATCCACAAAAATCCCACACCTGTTTGGGCAATTCCTCTTTGTCAGCAAGCCCTAATCAAGAATTAAAACATCCCAAACTTCCATGCTTAGCTTACCAATATAGTTGTGTTTCCCTTAATGAATTCCACAAAAACCTGGAAAACTTGTTCTCGTGTCTTTGTTGTCTTGAAGCTGGTATTACAAGTCCCATCAGCCTTCTGTAAATATTAAAAAGGTGGGGGGAGTCATTCTGTAGGCAGTGGAAAGAAGAAAGCAGGAAAGAGACTAAAGAAAGGAGGAAGTCTCAAACAAGGTACTCAAACACTGGAGCCAGGAGATACCCAGGTGGAGAACTCTTCTTTTGACGCAACTCCAAGTAGCTCCACTAGTATGGCATAACTAGTTGTGTGTATTATCCACTAAAATCTACATCTTAAAGCAGAGCTGATTAGTAATCCTCCCAACTAAATAGAGAATTAGTTTGGTCAAGAGATTAAAGCACCAGGTTAGAAACCTCAAGACCATGAGTTCTAATCCCATCTTAGGTCCAAAGTCAGCAGGATGACCTTGGCTAGTCATTCTCTCTTGGCCCTAGGAAGAATGAGGCAATGGCAACCCCCTTCTGAAATCTTGCCAAGAAAACTTCAAGGACTTGTCCAGGCAAGTGCCAGGAGTTAACACTGACTTGAAGGTGCACACAGACAAATAGACATACACAGAGTCCTTTCTAGCCTGGCATCCTCCCAATGCATATACTGACAGATGTAGCTGCAATTCAGTTCCCCAGAAGATGGGGTTAAACTGTTGCACTGCAGACATCAAGTTCAAATTCACACTTATCATGAAACTCCCTGAAGACCCTGGGCTCACTCACATACTCAGACTAATCTCTCTTGCAAAAGTGGGAACAGGGAAGGGTGGGGTTAAGAACCTAAGAAGAAAGACAAGATATATTTTGAAATAGTATTTTATTTCATTTTATTTTATTTATGTCGCCCATTTTGCTATCCAAAGTGATACTGATACCGAGTCAGTAATTACTCTGAGTCATGGTTAAAAGTTAATTCATTGGAATAATTGGTGGAATTCCTTTAGCCTGAACTTTTTCAAGTTCCATTTATTTCCAAAGGGACTGGAATGACTGTTAGCATTTATAGAAAGAATACTGCAGCTTAAAACCATGTTTCTTACTATGCAGGGCTTTTTTTCTCATAGAACACCTTTTTGGGATGGAACCTTGTAGGATAGGCAAGGCGGGTTGTATGATCTGTGTGAGTTCCGGCACCTTTTTTTTTTTTTTTTTTTTTTTTTTTTTTTTTTTTTTTTTTTTTTTTTTTTTAGAAAAAAAGCACTGTTACTATGAAATATGCAAGATTTTTTAAAAAAAATCATGCATCTGTATATATTTTAACTTTTTCTGTAGGTGAATGCCCAGTGAAATGTGTCATTCTGTATATTCATACTGATGCAATTATCTCTGAGTAAAATCTATGGTAGATGGCAGCCATGCATCTACTACCCTCCCCTTTAATAGCTTCTCCTCCTTCAAAATAAACACTTCTGCTCCAATAGGGTGGGTGAGTCTGGCAAAGATCCAAATGCATGTGCCTGACAAGACACAAGAACATTATGCAATAGCTGGGCACATCGTGGGTAGAGAAATCTAGCAGAACTCTGATGAACTCAGTGAGTACAGTGAAAGAATTCTCTCTGCCTATTGCCAGATGGCACATTAACTATTACGTACCAACATATAACTCATCGTAAGGAGAAAATCTGACAGTACCCTCCAAATGTTTTTGCTAACATCAAAACCTGAGATGCTGGGAAGATGCACAAAGAGAATCTTTCAGAAGTCTAAACCTATTCAACAGCATGAGAGCCAAAGTGCTAAGGGCCAGAGGGATACAGCAGTCAAGGGCCCCCGTGTTGGCCCCAGAGAGACCCAAGTTCTCTCCAGCACTAGCATATGTGTATTTATATATAGTGTGTGATACGGAAACTTATTAATATCAAATCTGACATTTTTAATTCAAGCTTCTAACACAGATTACTATTTCCCAGGCAAGAAACAACTGTATCCTTGTCTTTTGCTTCCCTTTTGATGGAAATGTTTGTTTTATTGCTGTTGCTTTTATTAGTAAGCCTAGTTCAGCTAGTTCATCTGATGCTCTATAAACTGTGCAGAATATCATTTTCATCAGCCTTGGTTGATAGCCAATATAGCCAATGGTAAGTAGCTGTAAAAACTGTAGTCCAAATATGCTGGTTTGCTATCCTGCCATTATATGTGTGTGTCTATCCTTGTGTGTGAGAGAGATAGGATTATATATCTCAAGATACTTGCCTTGAGCGCACTGATATCAGCTACAGATGCTTTCTAGTCAAGTACAAATCTACATGTTTCTATTTCCTGCTGGCTTCTCACCCAATAACCAACCAGGCTCAGTCCTACATAGCTTCTTAGACCAGACACTGTCACCCAGGTGTGGCCATGAAGGACACGTAACTATGGAAGCTTCTGAAAAGCGCACCAGAACAAATGCTTCAAACAGGAAAGGCTAGGGAAGATATCTTACCTTTATCCCTTCGATCCTGAAACCCTGGCTAGCACTGGAGCTGATGGTCTCCCTCCATTGCATGTACCGAGGTTTGGTCACTGCATGCTGAGTGTTCTCTTCAGCAGTGGGTGCCAAAGAGTCCACGTCTATCATCTTCTTATACATATCTTTACGAAGCTTCGGTTTTTCTCGTGCTTTAGTCAATTCTTCCTCCAAGTATGTCCTACAAAAACAATGGGACATTGAGCATCTCTCTAACTCCAGCAACTACAACAAAAGCTATTTCTTATTCCACGCTGTCTAGCTCATATAATGCACCATTCCAGTTACAGGCAAAATGAATTAGCAACCAAAGCAGAGTTCTCTTTTCAAGATTATTTAGATTAAGATCAGGCCAGTTACAGTGCGGGAAAGAGAAAAAGGGCATAGCCAACAGGATTTTAGTTTTTCTTCAAATCCAAGAAGATACCTTAAATCAAAAGCATCAGAATGATTTAAGATTTTATGAGAGGGGTCCTTGGTGTTCTCTGAGCTTGGTTGTTTTCTTGCAGACGTTTCATTACCCAAACTAAGTAACATCATTATTGGTTTGGGTTTTTTCTCCCTTTCTTTTTACAGGATAAGAGTTCTATATTGATTTTCTTTTAATTCTTTTAATTGATTTTCTAGATTGTAAATTGCTTTGAGACGTTTATAGAAAAAAATTATAGATGTACAGTATATGTTAAGTAATCTTAATAAGAATGCATTGGCCTCTTAGTATAGCTAATTAATCTCATTCAAAATGGAAGACCATCTATGATATCTCATTCAAAATGGAAGACCATCTATGATATCTTATGACAGACTCAGACAGACCACAAAAACACATTGAAAATAAAACTGATTACACACAGTTTTTTCCAAATATGAAACTATCCAGCTCTAGAAGTATAAAATCAGAAGAAAAAGAAGAAAAAAATCAGTTTATTTAACTGAGAAAGTTAAATAAACTGGGGTTTTTTCTTCTTTTTCTTCTGATTTTATACTTCTAGAGCTGGATAGTTTCATATTTGGAAAAAACTGTGTAATCAGAGGGTATATTCTAAAACTCTTTTGATTAAAGTTTTTTAAAAAATCTATTTCAAAAGAAAAGAATTCTTCACTATTAACTTTTAGCCTTTAACTTGTTTGAAGAGTACTGATGGGAGTGTGAGAGAAACAATTTGATGAGAAATATTTAAATATATTTCAAAGAATTGTATAACTTTTCCAACGTTTTCAAACATTTTGGGTTTTTTTTGGTTTTTTTAATTGAAAAGTTTTATAAAAGTTACAATATAAACCCCAAAACCAACCCACCCTAAACCCCCCTCTCCCTCCCCCACTTCCCAGAGCTGAATACAGGGTTACAAATATAATAATCATAATCTAACTAACATTAACCAACTATATAAATAACCAAGTCCATAATGCGCTTTAACTCCCCTTTAACATAAATATAATAATAATAATTAAAACATAAACAAATTAGTATCCTAATTATTAAACAATAGAATATTGTTAAACAATACTAATACTAAAAATAATAATAATATCATATAATTAAAACTAATAAAATTTCACTATAATAAACTATTAATACTAATAATACTCTAAAATTTACTCATAGGCTAAATGGAACTTTTTAGTCCCATATTTATTCTGAATATAATCTATCCATCTTCTCCAAACCGAAATGTATCTTTCTTGTGAATGATCCTTCAAATAGGCAGAAATCTTAGCCATTTCTGCTAAACATTTTGTTGAATAGGAGTATAATATTTTGGACAGAGTAGATGTCAAAAAAAGCTGTTATTTAGTATATGGTAGGAAGAAACAAGGCAATACATTTTCATCAGGACAATGTAAATATTTCTTTTAGATTCAAAACTTGCTATTATAAAATCTGAGTTACTTTTTATGGTAGGGAGGACAATTTTACAATATACATATTTTGCATTGTAAAATTGTAAAACCACATTCTGTGCATAGTGTTACTTATCCCAAAAGAAGTAGTATGGTATGTTTGTATGTTGAACAAAAAAATCTCTAGAAACACAAAAGGGCAAGTTGTGACAATTCAGTTCTGCTTGTATCACCACACACATACAATCAATTCATGTTCCTTTACCCAGTGCATAGTTCATAATTTGATTGTGAGACCTGACATCAAGCTCAGAGATAATTCAGCTGCAACTTGACCAAAATGAAACAATATCAATTCTTCTATTATTCTTGCTATGGATGTGTCCAAGCTGATTAAATCTTGCTAGAAAATGCCACGCACTTCCATGAATGAGTCCTATATGCAGTTCAGTTTCCAAAAATAATATGGGGTTTGGAAAGTGATGTTCTTTATAAAGAAAACATTGGCCATTTATGGATAGACAGAAGATCTGGACATAAACTTGTTTCAGGATTGTTTTTGGCAATAAATCTACAACATTTAAAAATTGAAGCTATATTAATAACCCTAAAAGGAACAAGCAAGTAGCATATAGGGGAGCTTAAATTACAGATGCTGTTTCTTAAATAGTTATTTTTCAAAAATGTCCAGAACTAAGAATATAGTAGAAGGGATCTGCTATGAAGTTCTGTTGTTGACCTTCCATGAACACCCTAAGGATATCTAGCTTCAAATTATCCAAATTATCAAACAAATTATCCACAATGAGATGGGAAGCTGTTGTTTAAGATCTCCCACCTGACTCCCATTTTACAATCCATCACACAAGGCCCTTCAAAATTAGCTAGAAGATCATCCAACTGTAAATAGGACTCGCCATCTCTCTCCACCACACCATGGAAGACAGGGACACAGGAACGTAGTGAATCTTTCATCAGCAGTTTAAAGCACTTCTCCTCATTCTCACAGTGGCGTTTCAGAATCGTCCCACCATCGGCTGCTTTGAAACTTCCTGCAGAAACAGAACCATGATGTCATGGAGTTTTCAAAGGCCTCTCCTCACAGTTCAATTGCAATATCCCTACTATCACTAAAGAATAACCCAAGATAAAGAAAACCAGGCAATAAACAGCCTGTCAGGCCGGGGAAGCTGAGGGAACCAATCGCAGACACCACCAGTCAAGAAAGAATGTGGGGCAATGGGAGGTGAACCAGATCCCCACAATGTCATCTTTGAACAAGCCATCAACTTTCAGAGGGATATGTTCAACCGACTCCAGGCCTGAGAAGCCCAAGAATGGCCAGCACCACCACCACCATCAGCCCAGCAGGCTGACGCAGCCTCCACAGCAACTGCTGCTCCAGCTCCCACACTGCTAGCCCCACTGCAGCAGCTGGGAGCAACTCCAGCAGTCCCAGTAGCACAGCCATCACCATCAGCTTGGGCTGCCCTTCCATGGAGGAGAAAACGCAGACCACCAGCCCTCAGGGTGAAATTCAATGGCAATCCAAAATAGCTGGCATTTTTCCTGACTCAGATGTGGACTTACATGCAGGAGTATGAGGCTAATCTGCAAACCGATCCGGCTAAAGTGAGGATTGTCACCACAGCATTAGAGGGTGAGGCAGCAGAATGGATGGTGGCCCTGTATGACGACGATATGGCAGAGCTGCGCAAGTTTGATAGATTCATGACAGTCCTGAGGAAACCCTTTGAAGACCCCCTTGCCGACCAAAAAGCCAGGCCGAGAATCAAGACTATAAGGCAGGACAGACGATCCGTTGCTGCCTATATTCAAGAGTTCCAGAGCCTGGCCTCTAAGCTAGTTGACTGGCCACAAGAACTGGCTTAATGTCAGGCCTATCCCAGCTTGAGCGTATAGGAAAGAAAAACCCTTGACTTCATTTGCAGAGAAAAGGTATACTTGTACTAAAGCCAAGTGCTTATAGCATAAGCAAAGCCAGATCTGAATAATCCTGCATAAATTTGGTGCTTTTCCCTTCCCCCAAGTCCTCTTCCTTGGTCATTTGGTCAATGTCCAACAGTATTCAAATTTTGGTAACAGTTCTAAGGTTTGGCGCCTCTTTGGTGGGTGTTTGCATTCCATTCTAACGCTAGTGTCCTTGGATCTCTCAACCATTGTCTCCGATTGGCACCTCTGGTTCCTGTCATCCCCCCTCCCTGTGTTCCCCTTTCTTCCTCCCCCCTCCCCTTCATTTATGGCAGTGTCATCAATGTGAAGCGAAGTTGAAGCAGTGTATGGCAGATCTGATACAGCTCTTTCATAAAAAACCTATGAAAAACATCCACTTAAATCACATGCCAATTAAATCATGGTGGATTTTGAGAGTTTTTTTTACAATAGCTTTTATATTTAAGCCTAGATACATATGGCTGTACAAAAACTTCACAGAACCAACCATGTAATGACTCAGGAGCCAGATCTGGTGATTAAAAATATCCTGTCATGATCTGAACTGACCATTACTGAAATAGCAGGTAACGGTATTGCAGACAAGAATTCAATACAGGAACAAACTTATGTTAATAGAATACATGCTGAAAGCTGATCTTTGGAATGCAGCATACATTTTGAATCAATTCAAAATTATTTGTTGAGGAAAGGTAGCCATTATGTTAGCATGTGTGCCAAATTCCCCAACTCCTACCCCAAAAGGTAGAAAGAACAACTCTGTAATCTCTACAAATTTTAAATTCAAATCACGAATCATGTCTGGATAATTGAAAGATGGATGAGAATAAAATATGTTTTTAAATCACATGCCAATTAAATCATGGTGGATTTTGAGAGTTTTTTTTTTACAACAGCTTTTGTATTTAAAAAAGCAAGAAAACATGATGTTAGGAAATCTGAGGTTTTAAGGTTCTTGTGAGATTTCAGTCATGCTGGAACCACCTCCATAGTCCCAAATAGCCCATAATTGAACTGCATGATTTACTGACCTATCTAATCTTTTAATAAAGTCCATCTTTATTTATGTCATTATTTAAATGTGCATGGTTGTTAACTCTCAAAATCCAGTACAGATTTTTAAAAATAGGAACAATGTAAACACTCTCTTATCTTGCTTTGAATATTTAGAAATAAACGATCAGCTCAGAGCATAAGTATTGTTTTTGACCAGGGGGTTCTGTAGGCAGATTCAACGTTTTCAACTTTATTCATAATTTTTAAGTACATTCTACTATGGTAGACCAATTAAAGAAAGAAGGTTCTCACCAGTGTGACCGGCCAACTGCACCCAAGAATACCGTTTTTTGAAGGGACTGATGACTGGCAAATTGACAATTGTCTTTATTGTCTGCCATGCTTTTTTCTGAAACACAAAAAAAGAAAAGTTAAAAAATTGAATACAAACATCTAAATGTTTTATGAAGGGGTGTAGCATTTAGTTATTGTTAGAAACCTCCTTCAATTTCCAAACTAGGCCCACCATTAGATAAATCAGATCCCCATTTAGAGATACTGATAATCCTAATAAATTTAGAAGGCATACTAGTTAAAAGCTAACAAGGCTTAGGACTTATTCATGTTATCTAAGATCCACCAATATAAAACTTGTTAACAAAATCCTGTTATAATGAAGCTCAGGCATGCTGCCCCTATGTGCATATGGAATTCTGCTTTCTATTTTTCTGGATCACATTATCCTGACGCCTTAGCCCTTTTTTTCTTCCTTAAACATAAATAAGCAACAAATCCAGGCACTGCAGGGGCCAAATGAAATAAAAAGAATTCCTTGAAAGATTGTAGAAGGATCACTCTAATTTTGAATAGGCTCCCTTTCCGGATCAAATTCAAAGGGTTATGTACTTTCTCCACTGACTAAATGAAAGCAAGTTACTGTATTCATATAGACTAGAGAGACCCATGTGCTGAAACCCATTTCCATGCTGAGATTGCTGTTCATGGCTATATGCCAGAAAAATTACCATGTACCATTCAATTCCTTACTCTAGAAGATTAGGCTAATATATTTTGGATGATCGTTGAATGGAAAAAAGGCACATTTTACTGTCATTAATTAGATTCAGTAATTGCTTATTTTATTTAAAAATATTTTGAGACAGAACGTAAGAAAAATGGCATGAGGCGAATGGACAAGCTTCGACTATTGAGGGTTTTTAAAAAACATATTATTATTATTAGGAATGGGGAAGAAATCTTATCGCTTAGCCATCCTACACTGCTTAATTTTCACAACTCCTAGCATCTTTGTTTTTCTCAAACAAAAATTCAACTTGTTCGTTTTAAATAAAATCATGCATTTTTTGTGCCCTGAATTTTCATACTCTACAGTATAAGCCTACGCATACCCACTAAGTGCTTTTATGATAATAAGAAACAAAAGGGTTAAGACTAATTACCACTCATCCTTTTCGCTTTTTTCCCCACTTTTGTACAACCTTAGAGAGAAGTTGATAATTCCAAGGTTCACTGTGTTACAGCTAAATATATGCAGAATTTGTTATGTTGCCATAACATTTGGATCAAGTCTTATTTTAGCAGATCAGATTCATATGAGAAGTCAAACGGAAGACATGATTGTGGCTGTCCTACTTCTAAGCTGACTTTCCCAAACTGGTGCCATTGTGACATAAAGAACTAAAAATTCCACCATACCCTCCAAGCCAGCATGCTGCCTAGGGATAATGCGAATTGTAGAAATATACTAGAAGGTACCAAATTGAAAAAAGCGCAATATACCATTCATTGGACATACAGAGTCCAGCTACACAAGATTTATTTGCTTAAAATGTCACTGCAGCTCAGCCTATAAACTGGAGAGAAAATGACAAGAACTATTCTTGTTGTGCAATCTCAGGATTGATCAGGCAAGATACAACATGCAAACGTGTTCCCTGTGAACCATTCCAATTTCTTTTCTTTATTCTGAGGATATCAAGAGTAGGAAAACATTACTTTCTCTGACATACTAACTTTTCAACTCAGATATCTAAGCAAACCCAATTCAACTAATGCATAAAATAGGGCTATAATTCCCTTCACCTTCTGTGTCTGCCTTTGGAAGAAGCAAATTATTTTATGACTTAACTGCTCTATAATCATTCCAGAGAATAATTACCTTTCTGCCAGCATCATTACTGTTTTTGTTAAAGAAGCGGTGTGCCTAGTCTAGAATGCAGCTGCTATTAAATTCCCCCAAAGAGTTAATTAAAAACTCTAGGAAAAACTCAGCTGACAACCTTTTTACACCTAACAACACAGGAATTATCTTTCTTATGTCTTTTTTTTTCTTTCTGCATATTTCACAGAGTAGACCTGTGAAATTCCATGCCGTGGCGTCTTCCTTGTATAGTGACACCCATGTCAATTCCTCTTTGGACCTCTTCAGCAACCTAAGACTGCCTAATTTTATACGTGATTAGTAACCTCCTCATCTTCCTTTTTCTTCTTTTCCTTTATATAATTTCAACTCTCCTCCAATTTCTTCTTGTCAGCTTCTTAGTCCATTTCATCTCCTCTCTCCCCCTTTCATGTGACTGTGTTTAACTCTTTCATTCTGTCACAATTCTGCTAGCTGGCCAGCCTTAATAAGAGGGTCAGATCCTGACTACACAACTAGGTTATGAGATAACCTGATGAGTCAATTAGTCCACCTTCTGGGTATGCATAATACAGTGAACTATAAATTAATCAAATAGGCTGGATGTACATATCATGCAAAACTACAAAACAAAACAAAAACAAATCCTATGCAAGCATAATTCTAATCGCTGTGAAAATTCAGCTGCTAGTTCAACTGATTTTGTTTAGCATACTGTTTGTACACAATCAGTATCTTACAGAAATATATTAGTGTGATTAGATTGGATTACCCGGTTTCCCAGATTTATATGCAATTTATTGTCATGGTCTTACAGTTTCCTGTATTCACCATTTGCTTTTGTAAATTTATTCAAATGTTATACTTTTTTTAAAGAATCAGAGAAAGGACTTCAAAGTACCATTCATTTAAAAAATACTGCTATGTACTATGTATATATACAGTACTAGAAACCATACAACTAAAAAGTAAGATTCAGCTCCATTTAATTCAGTTTTACTGATGTTTCTCCTAACAATGCTACCACTTTTAGGGATCCCAGACTTGCTAAACACAGGCAATTCCCAGTGGCTTACTTGTAAGTAGAAAAACACATTATCTTTTTATGTGTCTATGTACTTATTTACTTACAGGGACTGTACGTGTGATTATAGCAGGCAACGAGAACCTAAGATATATAATGTGGACAGTGGGCTGTGCCTCTGTTGCATAAAACTGGGTGTTGGCACCAAAGAGGTCGCATGTTAAATTTTGACAGCTAAGTTAAAACAGGGCATTTCGTTATAAAGAAAAAAAAAGCTTATCTTTTATTCATTGAAATATTTATTGGGAGGAAAAAGTATATTGTACCTTAAGATCAAAACCACCACATTTTACATGCTATATTCAGTTGTTTCGAAAGATGGAATACTTATTATGTGAGTACTTCTTAAAAGGTATCTCTTTGCCAGCATCCTTCAGATAAGGACTTCCCCTTCTGTACATTTACATTCAAGTCCATAGGAGGAAGACCTCAAGGGTGCCATAGTTCATGCTCTTCACCCAGAAAGGACAGTGCAGGATTCTTCTTTGAATGGAAGGCATGCAAGCACATTGTCCCATACAACTGTATGCAGAGATGTCAAGAAGAAAATAATAAAATTTAAGCAACATGGGTGGGGATAGGCTATTGGTTTGTAAGGAGCCTTCCTCCTTTCTGAATAACAGTAGTGGACTATGACTCTACTACACATCCCTCTGAAGAACAGTCGACTTCCAGTACCATATCTGACAATCAGGTAATCAACATTTGTTTAGGTGCCTTATGTTCTGATATCTCACTTTTGTTCTAACAAATTCCACAACATACTGGTATATAGTGATAGAGATATTCAAAGGTCTACTTTTAAACCAATCTATTAGCAGCAAGTTTTTTGTTAATTCTCCAGCCCAATTTCTAGCTGGAAATCAGCATGCCTATGTTGGCCTGTGCATGTCTACCTAAATGCACATACTCTTACACAAAAAACTGGGGAGTTGACATGACAGAAAAACTGGCTGTTTGCAAAGAAAGGTTACTCCAGCGTGTATATAAGGAACAAAATGTGCACAAAACGAGATGCCAAAAACATGTTTAAGTCACACCTTCCTACTTGTCTTCATTACGTGCTGCCTCTTTTCTTAGAATATGTAAGAACAAGGTTCTTGAAGTCTTAAACCAGGCCAGGGATAGGCAACCTCGGCTCTTTTATGACTCATGGACTTCAATTCTGGGAGTTGAAGTCCATGAGTCATAAAAGAACCGAGGTTGCCTACCCCTGAACCAGGCACTCAATACTGACTAGTAAGTAGTTGTGATTTGAGTAACTGAAAAGGCAATTTATACTGGAGAAGGCCGGGTTAGAAGCCAAGAGACTATGAGTTCTAGTCCCACTTCAGGCATGAAAGCTGGCTGGGTGACCGTGATCCAGTCACTCTTTTTCAGCCCAAAATGTCAGGCTTGCGTGACAAGCCAATCAGTCAAAACCAATGGATCAACACTCAGGTCATCTGAAAAAAGCAGACCCTGCATTTGTGGGAAGCTACTAGGAAGGAGAAAAAAGGTACTCGGAGGAAAAAAACATTTCTTAAGTCCCTTCAACCTTATCTTACCCAGGAAGCATTTGCTCCAAGGTAAACAGTCTCTCCTTCCCAATTTAAATATGACTCACCTGTTATCAGTGAAATTTTTCTTGGTAGGATGAGATAAGAGTAGGAACAACCCCAGAACAAACAAGCCTTAACATGATACAACAATCACATTCACATACATTCGGGTGAATTGTGTGAGAAGAGGATCTGACTCTAAAAGCACCGTTCTTCATTAAATCACCTTACTTTTTTCTCTTCCGCATACTTAAGAACAACACTCTCTACTGATGGTAACAAGCTCCTACCTTGCTAGCAAAGCACAGATCCACTACAAATAGCCTGAAAAAGTTGGGAGTGGGTCAGCCACTTTTTACTTGATTAGCCATCAAGAACTAAGGAAAGAGCCAACGTAGAGCTAAGGAGGAATTTCCTGACAATTAGAACAATTAATCAGTGGAGCAAGTTGCCTCCAGAAGTTGTGGATGCTTCGACACTGGAGGTTTTTAAGAAACCATTTGTCTGAAATGATATAGGATTTCCTGCTGAGCAGGGGATTGGAGTAGAAGATCTCCAAGATCCCTTCCAATTCTGTTATTCTGTTAAATGGAAAAGATTAATAAGATTTCCCTTGATTTGAA